CAAGATGACACAAAGTCCATGCTTGTTGCACTACGCAGTGCTGCATCGGCACACAAGCATGGTTGAGCTGCTGCTGAAGAACGATGCATATGTGAACCTGAGGGATGAGGGTGGAGACAGTCCTTTGCTGGTAGCTGTTGGCTGTGGCCACCTAGAGACCATCAGGATACTGCTGCTGTACGGTGAGTAGAAGTAACCAGAAATTGCACGTGAATTTTGATAACTGGGAAAACGCTGTCAATTGTCCCAAACAGGGTGTCTACCGGTCTCGGCAATCACAGAAGTCATGGAAAAGTCACTGATTTTACTAGGGGTCACAAATAAATAATCACCGTTTGTCCTCTTTTTGCATTGTCAAGTAAAAAGATTGCAAAATTGCTTTGATTGTGAGAAGTTATGACAGAAGTTGATTTGATCGCCGTAAATCCTCACGGATATTGCCCTGTTATTACAGGAAGCCATCACGTTTGTGCTGCAATTGTGTGAAATCATCACAGATGAAGGTGCAACTTCCTAGACCAGACCAATTGCTATGTCTGCTGAGGACAAGCGGGTTTTATCGTGGTCTCAGGTGAAGACCAAGAATTTTGCCGCTGTCATGAAATGAACAATCATTACAGATGTTGCTGTGATAATGTGAAATAATGACAGGTGTGACTGAGGTCTCGGAAAATCAACATGGATGTGTCTGTGATCGCGGATATGCAGATGTTTCTTTGAATCACCGGAGTTGATCACGAATGTTGCCATGAATCAGTAGAGATGATCATGAATTTTGCCTTGATCACAGGAAATAACCATGTTTGTATTACAAACGTTGCCCAGTCGCTCTAGATTATTCTGAATGTTGTTGTGATTGCTGGAAGTTATCATGGATGTTATCGCAATTGTTGGAAATCCTCAGAGATATTGCTATAACAGTGAGATATATTATTGCAAATAGCTAAATAAAACGGAAAAAAAACTGTACATTTTAATTCCCATGTTAAAATGTACATTATTTTGAAGTAAAAGAAAACTGTTGTAGTTAACTTGTTTATGGATATTTGCTGATCAATTTTTGCAAATTTATTTATTTCATCCTGTACTAGTGACTTTTGGTGAAAGAAAACTCTTTTTAGTATCCCCGTAGCAGCAAACCTAAGCACTTGTTAAATCGAATGCAATTTAAATGAGAAATAAATATGTCTTATTAATGTAAATATTTTAGAAATCCAATCAGACAAATTGAAACACGCTTTGTCTGCAGGTTTACTGCGGTAGGGGTATTTCTTTCTTAATGAGTTATGCCTTTGTCATGTGCAATTTTTTCCAGGAGCAATCCCTAACTTGCCGAACAGCCTGACTAATATTACTCCTCTTCATAAAGCCATAGACCTAAGTCATGTTCGTGGTCGATTCGATGAAATATTGAAGCTACTATGCTCGTACAATGTGGACTTAGATTTTCCAGGAGGTGGTATGTAACATAAAATAAAACAGATATCTTTTGTAATTTGGTGCACATAAGCAATAAAAAGATTAAGATAAAGATGAGGAATTAATCAATTATTATAATATTAGAATGTTTGAGAGAGTGGTGGATGATCATAAACTAAGGGAAAACAGGTATTGTTTGGGACATAATATTTCTAAATTCTAAAAGGTTATTTATAGCAGACTTTTATCTACAACGGAATTAAAAATTAAAGTTGTTTCTCTGAGGGCTTATTAATCCCTCTTTTTCACACAAAGTTTTGTCAGCAATAGCAAGATTGAACGTGGTATAGGCCCAGCTTTTGAGCAATTTAATCAAAATTCTGGTAAAGTTTCAAGAGTCATTTATGAGCCAGAACTGACTATGTCAAACATGGGTAGTTAAGGATTACAGTCCAGACAAATTGCTGATTTTTCTTGATCCACTAAGAATGGTGCCATCTCCTGAGATGTATTGTATTATTAGTCTAATCATTTTGATAGTCCAATAATTATGAATTCTGAAGTTGGATTACTTCAGTAAAATAAAGCAGTAAATACAATAACAATAACACTATTAATATCAATTAAATATTCAATCATTAATTTTGAACCACCTTGTTCTACAATTTTGTGTGTTTTCAGGCGTGGTGAGCACACCTCTGGTTCACGCTCTGCTGTCACACAACCTAACCTGCGCTGTGTCTCTGATAAGAGCCGGAGCTGATGTCAACAAGTCAGGGGACACCCGCTGCATGTGGCCTGCTCACCGCAGGTTCACACTGGACTACCTCAATGAATCTGATTTAGATGTTGCACAACTAATAGTAGCGGCTGGGTTAGTTTTTATTTATTTACCATTTGTAGAATTTAAGATATGTCCTCTCCAAGGACGTCAGCAGTGGAAGAGGTCTCTATCTCCTGATATAGAGAGAGATGGAGAGCAGTAGTTGGTGCGACCAAATCCCTCCTTGGGCATAATTAGCCGTGTGAGTGAGAATTTAAGACATAGGATGCTATTGGGGCTACAATCCTAAAACTCATTGTAGGCCTACTAGACTCAGTGTTGTAAAGGTGACTACTATGAACTTATACCTTAACAACAGTTCTAATTATTGTAGTACAGTGTTGGATATTACAGTTCCAGCAGATTTTCAAAATCTTGCAAAAAGGAAATAAATAAACTTTAGTAGTTCAGTTGGTGATTCAAGATACAAACAAATACATTTCACAAGAAAGGGATGGCATAAAACTAATGATATAATAACTATTGACTGGGACCGTGGCGTCGTCCTGTAATCTAGCTACTTGGAGCTTACGGATTGTGGATATTTATAGGCATGATTTGTGAATGTGATACTCCCTGGTGTGGATTAACGTCTGCACTAGTGAATACTACAACTATCAGCAGTACTATCCTGATAATTAGACAGATTTGTAAATTACAAGGCAAAAATGTGGTTCGGATTCTACTATAAACTGTAGGTTCCTTAGTTGCCATTGGCTGTATGGGCTATTAATTAACAGTCCTGTCCAAGGATCATGTCAGCATTAGTTAGTATCAAGACTACAAGATCGGGCCACTCATCCTACACTCATCTCCATTCATACTTGGTTTAAAATACCCACCTTTATATGGTCGACATTTCAATTAAAAGTATTAATGTATCTAGGACTAATAACCAATAATCACGGGAAAAAACACTGGCATGTCCATGAGCTGGAATATACTATCAGGCTAAAATTTGCGCTATCTGATTTAAATATCTAAATGATCAATGTGGCAGTAATTAGCTGATCCAGATGTGCTTCAATGTTAAAGTAGTGCGTTTAAATTAATTTGTTATGAAATGGAGTTTGCCAGGCTTTTTTTTATTAATTATATTAATTACTTCACACTCCAATATTTCCATTTCATATCCGTTATGATAATACGGTAATTTAAAACTTATAGACCTGTGCTGATGTAGCATACATTATAATTACAAAACAAATCTAAAAGTAAATCTGATTACTGTGCAAATGAGTATAGCCGTTGGTTTTGTGATACTAACCAGAAGAGAAATAAAATATAAGATCACTAGCAGATAACCCGTCCTTCGTACGAGGCTGGCGTATAAGTATAAATTGCTTATTGCAGTTATACTGATGATTTGTGTTTGCAATGGAAGAGGACGTCAACAAGACCAACATACCCTTTGTTAGTGACGGTCGTACGACCTTGTAAGGGACTACAGGGGGTGTTCCACACTCCTGAAGAAAGGAGGGGGTTCTCCCAGAAAATTTTGTGTTTTTAAAGCCATTTGGTGACTTTCTAAAGCCATTTTAACGTCTAGAACTGTGTCTGAAAACCTCCGTTACATTTTTATGACTAAATGTATGTTTAAATGTATTTTTACAGGGCCTGATTGGGGTGGGGGTTGCCTGTTGCCCCCCTATCTTGATACTGCCACTGCATATAATCATAATTTTCATTGAAAATAAATATAATATAAGTAATACACTGCTATTTAAATGGCCTCAACAAAATTTACCATCTCGTGTAATTTTCTAGGTTTAAACTGGAAAACTATCCACTAGAATATCCCAAGGACTTTTCAAATGTTCCGATGGACAGTTTCAAAGGATGGCTGACTCATATGAAGTTCAGCCCCAGAAGACTTGACGACCTGTGTAGGCTCAACATCCGCAGAGAATTGGGAAACAAAGCTCTCATTGAGATTCCCCAGATGGAGATACCGCACATGCTGAAGAGGTTTTTGTTGTTTGAAGACATTTACATAAAAAAGAGAAATAGAGGTTTAAGCGAGCCCAGAGAAGTGTCCTCCTTCCCCTTCATTATCTAAATGTATTAGAGTAAATACTAGTAGTGCTGGGGACTAAAATTTTGTTCGGTACCGGACATTTTTTCCTCAGAATTTCCAGAAAATATTTGGAAATATAATTTTTTAGTGTGTGAAATTGGGTGAGACTGTACAACACCAGAATAAGATTAATAAGTTATTTATTTACCGGGCATCTATATTTAATAGGCAAACACGAATATTGTGATAATTGTTTTGAAGCTATGCATCCAATCACCAAGTTTAAGGTGTCGTTGAATAGATCGTGGCACGTAGATTTGCCATCAAACAAAACATTTTGAAATTCCATCAGGGCTCTGCCCCACTGGCCTTCAAAGTGATTATATCGAATAGGTAATGATGATCGGGTTCAGGTATTTGCCGCGATCACAGAAGACTATGACAACATTTCCGTGACCGCGGGAGACGACTATAATCTCTACAAAACGCAAGAGATGCTCAGGATTTTGCCATGATCGCGGTTGACGATGCTAATTTTTGAATTGACGGTTACTTTCAAGGCTAAATTTTGTGAACAAATTATAATAGATGACATAAAGTTAGCTCATAAATGTTTAGATTTATAATAAAAAGCACACTTTAAGACTTGTCTAAAGGGAGATTTCCTTATTTTGTAATCAAGTTGGAACATGTATCAAACAGTCCAACACAACACAGGTTGTTTTAAACACATACATTATTGATAAAAAGATTTTTTTATTAATTAAATAGTTGCACTGTACTTTGGAACATCTCATGTAGAAATTCACAACTATATGGTTCGAAAGGTCGTGAAAATGTTTGATCAAACTCTAAGTTGAAAAAAATCGTTGTTAAAGTTTACTTCAATAAAAAATGTGGGTTAAGTTTTTACATAATTTCAACAACTCGCTGTGAAATTAGTTGACAGATCCGGCTTAGCTATGCAATAGGGAAATACTGAAGTTAAATCTTGTAACTTTACTCACTTGCAAACATGTAATAAGTACGGTACAGAAGAAACATTTAAGGAAGCAGGAATTTAATATTTAGGAAGGTGTCTCAAATATTTATGGTTAACATTTTTATAAAAGATCAGTGCTCCTCCCTCACACTTTTTACATAGGTATCCCTTACTTTTTACCAGTTTAGTTTGCTGTTCGACCAACTGTCCAAAAAAATGTATAATTTAACTTCTGAAAACTGGAGAGAAGTTTTTAAAATAATCTAAAGAAAATGTAATTTGTAGCGTGGATAATTCTGTTGAGAAGTCCATGATAATGTGTAGGACGTACAAAATCAGGTTGACAGTTTTAAGTTTAGATTATAGCTTAGTATGAAAATAGATATTGATTTTACTCTATACAAAAATTTTGTAAATATGTATAAGATAATTATTATTTTGTAGATATAATGTACAGCAAAATAATAAAATTATTACATAGCACTGTTTTAAGTGTTGTATTAAATTGTTGTGATTGTAGTTTTATTTTTTGCCCCTGCCAATATCAAGTGCCATATTTATATACCCCCACCCCAGCAAATCTGCAGACTAAGCAAAATTTCAATTTGTCTGATTGGATTTTTACTAAAATATTTCCATAAACAATCTATATTGCTTATATGCAAGCAAGTTTTTTTTTTGTGACAATTACTCCTCCGAAACTACTGAACCGCTTGACATGTTTTTGTTGTCATTGGAAAGACCGTAACGTGAAGTTGTGCAGGAAACTTTCTTTTTAGGGAAATAATTTAGAGAGTGAGGCCCTCGGGCCCTTTAATGTTTTGTATTTCTCCATAAGATTAAATACTGTACATGGGAAACGAAACAAACATTGTTATGAAACTCGAGCTGTTGTCAGAAAGTGAGAAGAAGAACATATTATGTTTATTGTAAACCATAAATAAGTTTGCTAATTTAACAGTTTGCTACAAACATTTACTGACTTGGTTAGGTTGAAATGAAATATTAACTATTGAATTTGGGTTTGCGTAAATATTACAGTGGAAAAAAGAGAGAGAGCCTGAATTTGACATACTAAAAAAACTGAATTAACACTGTGCTGCATTTCTTAGTATTCATTGAAAGAGCCGATTTGCAAGCTATGGAGACATAGGAAAGTCATAGAACACCACTAAGGCACAGGAGGCTGTAACCAAGGAGAAAAAATAGAAATAATGTTTTTTTTATTCATAATCATTATGGACAACCTAATGCGGCTATGAGTAAGGCTATTTGTAGAAAACACTAAATATACCCCCGCCGCAGCAAACCTGCCGACTAAGCGAATTTCCATTTGTCTGAATTGATTTTCAGTTAAATATATTTTAATAACATTAGGTTTAACGAGTACCTAGGTTTGCTGCTACAAGGAAACTAATAAAGTGTGTTTTTGAGTAAAATATTGATAGCTTAGTACAAAATAAATAAATTTGCCAAATTTGATCAAAATATATCCATAAACAAGCAAACTACAACATTTGACAATATTCTCCATAAGAATAACATGGGAATTTTAAATTTACAATTTTTTTAATTTTCTCCGTTACTAATAATTGAACAAAAATACTTTTATATACTAAATTATTTGTTTTTTTAAGCTCTTTAAAAAGGTCTAAAGAGAAATCGGGAAATTTTGTGTTTTGAGGGTCAAAAGTGAGAAAAACCAATTTTTACCCCATAAAATCCCCCGTAAAGCCCCGTTCCCATGGTCCGATCGTGCTGGTTCGCAAACTCATTCAAGTTTATCACGCTTTACACCTTTAAACCAAATTTCATCAAAATTGGACAAAAATTACTCAAGTTATCGCGTTCACGGACGTATATATATATATATATATATATATATATATACATATATAAAAATTTGAACGAATGGTGTTTTTGGCCTCTGGGGACATCAAAATGAAAAAGTAAATCGGTCCCGGGTCTAGGTCTTACCGTGCCACCTACGGTAATAGCTACTTCCCTATAGGGAAATTCGCTAAAAACAAGATCAGCTTTTGAAAAATTAAAGATATTTACAAGAAATGTTTATATCCATCTGTTATGTACATCTTGAGTATTTCCATAATCTTTGAGTCGAATATTTTAAGGTAATCAGAAATTATGACTGTTATACGTTTTAAAATAACGCCTGTAATACTTTAGCAATTGCTCGAATTCGAGCAACAGGGACACTAGTAAATATTATTTCCCATTTAAATAAAATTAGATTTAAGTACCTAGGTTTGCAGCTACAGGGAAGGAAAATGTGTTTTCCCCACCAAATGTTAATAGAATAGGAATAAATAAATCCTAAATCAGCCAAATTTGATCAACATCTATCCTATACTCTAATACGAGCAAAGTTTGCTTGTATGTATGTATGTATGTATGTATGTATGTATGTATGCTTGCACCAAGATCTCGAAAACGGCTCCGACGATTTTCTTCAAATGTTGTATATAGTTTATTTCTGGCCTAAAAACGAGTTTACTGCAATTAGAACTGCCATCAAAAATCTAATTACGTAGAAAAATGAAATTGAAAATCACATTTTTTTAACATTAGTCTTATGGGTTGCTAGGTAACCATGTTGGTTGAATTGAATAACAAGGAAAAAGTAAACAAAAGACTTGTAGCTTGTAATTTGTCTATCCACAGTATACTAGCAAAACAAAATACAGTACAAAAGGAAAAACATCAGTTGTTACTATTGAGCAAAGATTATACTGAAGATTACTAGATTCTATAGTCAAGGGTAGCAGTGTGGAGTGTGGGATCTGTTTATGACGATTAGATTACGGTATCTGCAATCCTTAAATGCTATGGAAAGGGAGGAAAACAGGTCCACGACATAGGAAGTGGTGAAGGAAGTAGTAAAGGCGAGCAGTCTGGAGTGTGGGAACTGTTTATGACGAATAAATTAAGGTATCTGCAATCCTAAAATGTAATGGGAGGGAGGAAAACTGGTCCATGACGTAGGAAATGGGGAAGGAAGTTGTAAGGCTAGCAGTGCAGGGTGTGGAAACCGTCTGTGGCATTTATGTATCTGCAATTTTAAAATAGTATAAAGAAGGAGGGCAAACAGGTCTACGACATAGGGAGTGGTGAAGGAAGTAGCAATGGTGAGCAGTCCGGAGTGTGGGAATTGTTAATAACGATTAAAACAAGTTATCTACAATCCTAAAATGCTATGGGAAGGGAGGGAATCAGGTCCGCGACGTAGGAAGTGGTGAAGGAAGTAGTAAAGGCGAGCAGTCTGGAGTGTGGAAACTGTTTAAGACGATTAGATTAAGGAATCTGCAATCCTAAAATCCTATGGGAAGGGATGGAAAGAGGTCCGCGACGTAGGAAGTGGTGAAGGAAGTAGTAAAGGCGAGCAGTCTGGAGTGTGAAAACTGTTTATGACGATTAGATTAAGGAATCTACAATCCTAAAATGCAATGGGAATGGAGGGAAACAGGTCCGCGACGTAGGAAGTGGTGAAGGAAGTAGTAAAGGCGAGCAGTCTGGAGTGTGGAAACTGTTTAAGACGATTAGAATAAGGAATCTGCAATCCTAAAATCCTATGGGAAGGGATGGAAAGAGGTCCGCGACGTAGGAAGTGGTGAAGGAAGTAGTAAAGGCGAGCAGTCTGGAGTGTGAAAACTGTTTATGACGATTAGATTAAGGAATCTACAATCCTAAAATGCAATGGGAATGGAGGGAAACAGGTCCGCGACGTAGGAAGTGTTGAAGGAAGTAGTAAAGGCGAGCAGTCTGGAGTGTGGAAACTGTTTAAGACGATTAGAATAAGGAATCTGCAATCCTAAAATCCTATGGGAAGGGATGGAAAGAGGATCGCGACGTAGGAAGTGGTGAAGGAAGTAGTAAAGGCGAGCAGTCTGGAGTGTGAAAACTGTTTATGACGATTAGATTAAGGAATCTACAATCCTAAAATGCAATGGGAATGGAGGGAAACAGGTCCGCGACGTAGGAAGTGGTGAAGGAAGTAGTAAAGGCGAGCAGTCTGGAGTGTGGAAACTGTTTAAGACGATTAGAATAAGGAATCTGCAATCCTAAAATCCTATGGGAAGGGATGGAAAGAGGTCCGCGACGTAGGAAGTGGTGAAGGAAGTAGTAAAGGCGAGCAGTCTGGAGTGTGAAAACTGTTTATGACGATTAGATTAAGGAATCTACAATCCTAAAATGCTATAAGAATGGAGGGAAACAGGTCCGCGACGTAGGAAGTGGTGAAGGAAGTAGTAAAGGCGAGCAGTCTGGAGTGTGGAAACTGTTTATGACGATTAGATTAAGGAATCTGCAATCCTAAAATGCTATGGGAAGGGAGGGAAACAGGTTCACGACGTAGGAAGTGGTGAAGGAAGTCGTAAATGTGAGCAGTCCGGAGTGTGGGAACTGTTAATAACGATTAGATCAAGTAATCTACAATCCTAAAATGCTATGGGACCGGAGGGAATCATGTCCGCGACGTAGGAAGTGGTGAAGGAAGTAGTAAAGGCAAGCAGTCTGGAGTGTGGAAACTGTTTATGACGATTAGATTAAAGAATCAACAATCCTAAAATCCTATGGGAAGGGATGGAAAGAGGTCTGCGACGTAGGAAGAGGTGAAGGAAGTAGTAAAGGCAAGCAGCCCGGAGTGTTGGAACTGTTAATGACGATTAGGGCATCTGCAATCCTAAAATGCCATTGGAAGGGGGAGAAACAGGTCCGCGACGTAGGAAGTGGTGAAGGAAGTAGTAAAGGTGAGCAGTCTGGACCATGGGAACTGTTTATGGGAACTACATTAAGGTATCTACAATCCTAAAGTGCTACGAGAAGGGAGGAGAGGAAAACAGGTCCATGACGTAGGAAATGGTGTAGGAAGTAGTAATGCTAGCAGTGCAGAGTGTGGGAACTGTCTGTGGCATTTATGTATCTGCAATTCTAAAATGGTATAGGGAAGGAGGGCAAACAGGTCCACGACGTAGGGAGTGGTGAAGTAAGTAGTGAAGGTTAGCAGTGTGGAGATTGGGAGTGGATTAATGTATCTGCAATACTTTTCAGAGTAAAGTAATAATTTTCCCCGAGCAAAGCTCGGTCCCCAGGTACTAAGCAAATTATATGACTAACTGGTTTCGACTTTCCTCCATAAGAATGACATGGGAAATATATGGTACAGATTTTGAGAATTTTCCTGTAACTTTTAATTTTACATCAACACTTCAATATACAAAATTATTTGGTTTTTTTTTTAATTCTACAATATGGCTGTAATAGAAATTGGAATTGTGTACTATATTAAGGGTAAACATTTGAAAAAAAAACTAATGTCTACAGTCTGCATCGATCCCTAAATAAATAGAGATCATGATAGTCTGTGGCTTAACCTAACCTAAAAACGTGTTGTATAGTGTTTGAAAAACTAAAATTATTTCTATGCTTTATAGTGACTGTAGGAAAAATATATTTGTCTAGGGAGTGCAAAGTGCCACTTCGCACGGTACACAATAACCTATTTACAGACTTCCTTGAACAACGCGATAATTCTCAAGTCTGTAACTTTATATTTTGAAATATTTGTTAATAACTTTTCTATAAAATCTATTTTTTTATTGTTTATAGTCTATGTGATGGTTAACCTTGTAAAAAGTACCGTATTTGGACTCAATCATAAGCAATGAACATGGTTATTTTTTGTTCTGCCTACTGACAATGATGTCAGTACATAGAAATGTCCATGGCAATGATTTGTCTGATTCGTTATGTTACACCATATATTACTCCTTTAATCTATGGTTACACTGCACAGAGGAGGTGGGGAGGGGCTTGCCATATGCAGCGTCACAGGGTGGGCGGGAGGGTTTAAAAATGAAGAAAACGCGTTACTTACTTATAGACGGCCCGGGCCCCTAGGAGTTGTAGGCTATACTTGTTATTCTAAGTACTCAATATTCAAAGTCAATGAGCATAGATTAACAAAGCTTTATATGATTGAATACAAAAACTGATGAGCGATGATAGTTTACTGTTTGTAGTCAGTACAGAAATGTCAAGCGTCCAGCTGACTGATGACATATGATTTAGTTTTTGTCTGCTACCACTCTACCACTCTACCACTCTGCTTTCTGCTTGGATTGAAACAGAAAACTGTACTGATCGAGATCGAGATGTGGAAGTGGAGTGGAGTTTCCCTTCTAGTTTACTTTCTTCCTTCTTTCAAATTTTGTTCAAGTACAAGATGTATGCCTTTAGGGGGTTGTTTAGATTTAATAGCAAATGTAGCTAATGCAATTTAATTGACCCTCAAACAATCTGCTGCAGTGTCAGTAATTGTTTACCATTCATGTGATATTCAAAATTACAATTCCTAGTTTTTAAAAAGTGTTCCCTTAGCCCAATTTTAATTTTACTATATCTTCATGACGTCTTAACCTTACTTTCATGCTCAGTGATTACCTCTCATAATTTAAATATTTATAATTTTACGGTAGTGTAAAACGGCCAGCACTGAAAATGGGTGATCAGGAAAAAGTTATCAAAGTTGGATCAAGAAAAAGTGAGGTAGGCCTAGGTTTAAGACTTCTGGATTTAATGATATGGTAACCTACATTTGAAAAGTGAAAGTAAGGTTATATCAGGGTTATCTTTTGTATCCTATGTATTTAGGCCTACTGTAGGTCCTTCTAGAATCATTCCAAACATAGGCTACCCTATGTGTAGCCTATATTTCACATTTTAGTAATTCGGTATTTAACAGAGCAGATGCATTCTAAGTTTGTTCACAATATTCATTTTGCAAATATAGATCAGGCTAAGTTAAGTCTTCTTAAAACTGCTTTGATATTGTTTAATTTTTATAGGCCTAAGCCTCATTAGGCCTATCTTGTGATACCATATTTAATTTAACATGCCGAACTTAACTTAAATTAACAGTAGTTAATTAATTATCATTCCAATTTATTTGACATCAGTTAGGCCTACTTAATGATATGAATTAAGTAAAAACATATTGACGTGTCCTGTTGTACTTATTTCCATGTGCTTAAAATGGAATAGTTTTATATTTGAAATCTTTCTCCGGTTTAAGTTAAATATAGGGTTTATTCAAGTGGGGTACACTTCCATATCTGTTGGCACAAACAACCGAATGAGTAGGCCTAATATTGATAGCCTACTAATACTGCAGGCCTAATACTGCAGAATATTATTTTCAACATTTTAAATTAGATTATTAAAGAGTGTAAGAATAATGGAAAGATTATTCTTAGGTTACAGTGGCTACAGCCATGATTAAATCCAGCACACACATACGATTTTTATATCTAATAATCAGTACCTCTAAATACATTTTAGTTTCAATAATTAATTGTACCATTTAAATAAGTTTACTTAGTTAAAATTATCCTATCCAAATATCACCATCCTAAATTATCGGGCATTTATGCAAAATAGGCATTCATCCGGTTATAAATACCCGGTTATTTTATGTCATGCATCTTAATTGAATTATAATAATGCACACAGAAAAATATATTACACTAAAGACTTCCATTATCTGATTCCATAAAAACGTGGATTGTTGTGTTTATAAATCAATAAACTGAGATAGATTATCATAGGCGAGTATTGGGACAATGAAATACGAGAAAAATAATCGTTTTGGACGTTTTGGTTCAGCCCTTTTTCACGATCATCCTATTGTATGGAAGTGCGCGAAGTGCGTATGTCAACAGCAGTGGCTTCACATGTGTTTCCAGAGTGTTGTTACTGGTTGATACCAACGTCTCAACAGAAATTCCCTGCGAATCCCTGTCATTAGGCTCCGCTATGGATCTGGTCTCGACCTACACTGGGCCCGGCTTTCACATCATTAGGCTCTGACTCGTGAACCCATTTTTTGGTCGTCACTTATATAGTCCGGGACCAACGTCTGGTCGCAGACTATGAAGTCCCGAGCTCGTGAACCGCCCCTTAGTGATGAGTGAGTGAGTCAGTGAGGGCTTTGCCTTTTATATATATAGACTAGCTGTACCCGCGGGCTTTGCCCCGTTTAACTTCACAAGTGAGCTCGTTTGCATGGCTCAATCACGTCCTGGTTGAAGTTTGTTCGCTACGCTCACTCACCTTTAGGTTGGAGCTCGTTCGCTCCGCTCACTTGCCTTCAGGTTAGCTCGTTCGCTACGCTAACTCGCTTCCAGGTTGAAGTTTGTTCGCTACGCTCACTCACCTTTTGGTTGCAAATTGGCTGTAGTCATAAATGAAAAAAAATAGTGCTGCGTCCTGTTGGTAATCCTTGTAATTTTAATGCTATTGAACATCATAGAACAGAACCAACTTGTTTAATTGAAACAGCTGTTAAGAAATTCCTTTTAAATATGAAAAATCATAAGGTTAACATGGGAAACTCCAGAGCCACTGGGGCGGAGCCCGAAAGCCCGATCAGAATAAAAACTACTTAGTTTTCCTATTTAATGCCCAAAGAATCGGTGTACCGAATTTCAGCCTCTTAGGTAAATGGGAAGTGGGAGAATTAGTGATGAGTGAGTCAGTGAGTGAGTCAGTCAGTGAGGGCTTTGCCTTTTATATATTTAGATGACTAGGTCTACCTTTTTGGTTCATTAATAGGCCTCATATAAGTTAGGGTAAAATAATTATCCATCAATAATTTTGCCATGTTTTATAGCCTACTTTGTATTTTTTTTGCAGCTGGCACTGATTCAAACCCGTTCAATTATAAGAAGTTTGGAAGAAATTTATCCTAGTAAGAAGTTTGAAATAGGTAAGGAGAAATGAGCTTAGGCTGTAGGGAGTAATGTTTGGTTGGTTTATGTTGTTTTGAAAAAATCAATGTATAGCTAAGTTTCATACCATCTGAAATTTGATACTAATCCAATATGGACATTAACTTAAATTAGGCTATTTTGAAAACATGAAGTAGATAAGTTATCTAGTTAAAAAACACAAAAAATAAAACAAATTAAACACATACAAATTAAAATTAAAATCTGGTCGACCGTTATTTAGCATCGTTTTTCTTTCGTAACGCGTGCACTAGCGTGTGTCGAGACTCCATATCGTCCATAATGGTCAACCAGTGTTTTTTTTATGTTTAACCTGTGTTTTATTTGTAAACTTTCAACGCACCTCTTGAGGGAAGATTAGTTCTTATACGGATCTGATGATGGTGTTTGCGCCAAAATGTGCATAATCCATTAAGGACAAGACTTGGACCATAAGGCGACACAGGTAACTTCACCTTTTTTATACGTCAAACATTTGGTCCGAAAACACCACAACAAAAATTAAGAATTACCTGTCTGGTCTTTTAGAAGTTTTAAAAATCAATAATTTGTTCAATGCTTATAATTTCTTTAAAAATTTGATTTAAATTAAATATATCTTGCTCTTAAAATGTCCGTCAAAGTCAGTAAAATTAAGTGAACTGAAACCATTATTCTGTGAACTGTTAGAAAACATTACCATACTTAATAAATCCTAAGTTCAGTAAAACCTCTGTTTCAGTTACCATGTCAACCCTAGGCGATCAAATTCTGGATAAACCTCTTCCGAAAATTGGTGAGAAGAGTTTATTCACAAAAGAGCTTGAAATAGCACTGGAAAGAAGTGATGTAGATTTTGTAGTTCATTCCCTCAAAGATCTCCCTACAGTGTTACCTGACGGAATGGCGATCGGAGCTATTTGCAAGTAAGTGTTTTTTTGTTAACCACGAGCAGGTTATTTAATTATTTTTTGTAGCCTTTATAATTAGTTTTTACATGTAAATATATTAACATTTCAGTTACTGGTGCTAAAGTTATAAATAAAATCCACTGCAATTGAAGGCTGCTAAGCTTAACCGTGATAGTATTAAAATTATTTAGAGAAATATTGATGAGAATAAATACATAATGAAATATATAAAGCCTATGATGATATTCCACTACTAATAATTAGCCCTACTTATATCACTGGCTAGATAATCGTCCACAGAATAAAACCCATTGCTTTACCCTGGGTTTAGAACAGAATCAAATTGTTTAAAGGATACAATCCATGCAATTTTTGGAAGTGAATTGAATAGTTTTTTCCTAGTAAAAATACTTTATGGCTTATCTTGGGTTTTTATAAGCTAGTAAATCAAATGGATTGTTATTCCTAATCCTAGTATAATATGGATGTGTTTTGTTTCCAGTTGTAAAATGTTTCAAAGACTCCTCAACATATCAGACAGCGAGACAGCAAAATATAAATAAAGATTAGCCAAAGTCATTATTTGTAATTCTATAAATATTGGTTTACATGTCTGTCTTTGTAAATCCTCATCAAAAAATATTTAGCAGGCCTACCTTAATTATTTTTCTTAATTCATTTTCAAATGTTACCAGGAGAGAAGATCCAAGAGATGCCGTGATTTTCAACTCAAAATTTAAGGATAAAACCTTAGCAACGTTACCAGAAAATAGTGTAATTGGTAAGCTATTATTAAATTATCTTGACAATATTGTGCCTTCTGCATCTGTGTGTTTAGCTAAATAAAACAAATGTGGATCAATGAAGTTTTTTAACTTATCTGTATGCCTATATACATTTACATACATATTTTTAAGAGAATAAAGATCTCTGTTTTTAGAATGTTATTAATGGATGCTGTTTTGTTTGTTTTTATTCTGTGGGTTTTGTGTTTTACATCATTGGCATGTTTTGTAAGGTAATGGTCCCTGGTGCTTAACTACCTAAAGTTGACATTTTAGATGGTAATTGATAGCTTATAGACAAATGATACCCATATGAGTCCAGAACTTATCTTGCTTGAGATAAAATTGACAGTCCCATCATTGTTCAGGAACCAGCTCCCTGAGAAGAACTGCCCAGCTGTCCCGACATTTCCCACACCTCAAAGTTGAGAACATCCGAGGCAACTTGAACACTCGACTACGCAAGCTAGGCACCGAGGACTCTCAGTACGCAGCAATCATACTAGCCCTGGCTGGGATCACTAGGATGGGCTGGCAGGACCGGGTTGGACAGGTAAATACAACATTTATTCTTGAGTAGCTGAGTCTTTTGAATGCTTGCTTAGCTATCAAGAGGCTGCTTGTTCCCTATCACTATTCACTATTTATATTTTCTCTGTGATTTATGTAAATGGTGAATCCGTGAATGAAATTTTAAAATTAAATCAAATCTTTGTGCTTTTTTTAAGTTACCTAGGACATTAAATAAATGGTAAAGAAATTGTCATGATATTAATTCTCATACATCCTTTGTTTATCTTTGTTTTTAAAAATTTAAACATGTCCTGGGCGTGTTAATTTTGCAACATCCTTTGTTTATCTTTGCTTTTAAAGTTTTAAACATGTCCTGGGCGTGTCAATTTTGCAACATCCTTTGTTTATCTTTGCTTTTAAAGTTTTAAACATGTCCTGGGCGTGTCAATTTTGCAACATCCTTTGTTTATCTTTGCTTTTAAAGTTTTAAACATGTCCTGGGCGTGTCAATTTTGCAACATCCTTTGTTTATCTTTGCTTTTAAAGTTTTAAACATGTCCTGGGCGTGTCAATTTTGCAACATCCTTTGTTTATCTTTGCTTTTAAAAATTTAAACATGTCCTGGGCGTGTCAATTTTGCAACATCCTTTGTTTATCTTTGCTTTTAAAGTTTTAAACATGTCCTGGGCGTGTCAATTTTGCAACATCCTTTGTTTATCTTTGCTTTTAAAAATTTAAACATGTCCTGGGCGTGTCAATTTTGCAACATCCTTTGTTTATCTTTGCTTTTAAAGTTTTAAACATGTCCTGGGCGTGTCAATTTTGCAACATCCTTTGTTTATCTTTGCTTTTAAAGTTTTAAACATGTCCTGGGCGTGTCAATTTTGCAGTGTACAATAATTTTTAGTGCTTTGTCTCAACTAAGTATTCTATTACCATAAAGTTGTAGCAATTTTTAAAATTAATTTGATCGTAGCTAAGCCATGGGCAGAGTGCACTGCTATCATTAATGACTTTTCTTAAACACACAAATATTTTAACCAACACAATACCGAAAGGTTAATTTATTGTAAATACTATAGCATATTTCATATCAAACCTTTTATAAGTTCTTTTTCAATTGGAGATTAGCTAAATACATCTGGTTGATATGGATGAGATTTATACTTATGTATCCAAAAGGTGATTTGTAATTAAACGTAGTAGGCAGTAGTCTGTTATTTTCAGATTGTTTCATTTATCCAAAAGCTTTTAAGGCCACTCACATGGCAAGGTAAGGTGTTGTAATTTTTATTTCAAACAGTTAAAGTATGTCTGCCAGATACTTGGGTTTTTAAACCTTTTATGTGGTTTTTTGATTTGTTACTGTACCATTCTTGTAAATAAAATATGATTTTCACGTAATGCAGTAGGCCCTATTCTATTTTGAATCAGATTGTAAGAAAAATATACTTGTTGGTGGTTCTGTGCATATAAATTATTATTTTTGCTTGCCATTAAAAAAGCAGGTGCTAAATAACCTAGGTGCATTTAATGTAAAAAATTAAATACAAAAAAAAATATATTTGAAAGTGTAAAAATATCCTCATGGTGTGTAAATTTAATTATTAAAAGAAGGAGCTTAGCTTTTTTTCAAATGTTTCAAATAAAGGAGAACAATTTTCAAATTGAAAGGTAAAATTGTTTACCTCTACAAAATTTTATGTGAATACTGTACTAAAAGACTGGTGCAGCTTAATGAATTATATATTGGTTGTTAAATAGTTTATTTCTATTTCTAATATAATAAATAATCTACTGGCATAATATGATCAGCATAAACAATTTACCGACTTCAAATTCTTCGAACGCTAGAAAGGTTTCTGGGGAAGCCTTTTAGGCTATCAAATATCGAAATATGATCCTTTATAACAGGGGACTGGGTATTCTATACCCTACCTAAACCTCTCCGCCAAGTGGGTACACTCAGTTCCACTTGATTTAAGAGTCAGTCTATCTGTGAAGAATACCTTAGATAGTCAATAATACCTTTAAATACTATTTAGTATATTTTTGATTTGTCTTTATGAAAAACAATTGGAATATTCATTATTATAAAAATCATCACATACTATTGCTGTAAAAGCCTAAGTATGGCTTGTCTTTAGCTCACTAACTTAAAAAACAAGTAGAAAACCTTGTAACTTTCCTTGGTCAGTATTTATGATGTTTGTGTTCTCCTTATCTCTCCAGTCCTGTTATCTACTGTATCACCATTATCACTGTAATAACTCTAACAAATCTACAATGTTACTTATGTGGCCCTTTGGTGAGATTGATGGTGTGAAAACTGATTATTGATTCTGTGGTGATGTGATGTATTGATTGTAATTAAGTGAAATGTGTTGGTAATTGGCTGTTGTGGGTGTTAGGGCCTGGAGGACCCTAACACCCATTAGGGTGGTATTTCCAATGTTGCAATTAAGAAAGTGCTGTACTCTACTACCATCTTGAAATGACAATTAAATTGGAAACGTTGTTGGGGAACCAGAGGGCGGAAATCTTTACCCAGACCAGAAGCAGGCCAAGCCAGCTTTGATTACTTATTTTTAACTATTTAAAAGAACTATAGCTAACCTTCCAAACTAAACTGGTAGATAGTGTAAATGGTAATGAATAAAAAACAGGTAAATATCACTCCCTAACTCATTACTGAATCAATTTGGACTCATAAAGCGATTCCTGAAAGAATTGATACTTAAGCCTTCAACGTGGTGATTTTTGCATGTCTAGGAATGATTACCTCGTTAAGCGAGGTAATCATATAATTTGGAATTTACATTTCTGCGAATGGGGGGAAAGCCTGCCGGCTCCCCCTTAAATAATTAAACTAGCCTATCATCCTGGTCTTAGCTCTACTTAATAATTAATTATAGACTCATCCTGATAAAACGAAGGCATGTCGATCTCAGTAAACGGACAATCAGAAAATCCAACGAAGGGGACGGAGGCCGGCGACAAACCAGACCGAGGAAAACTCGATTCCGTAGCTCCTTGACGTTTCTCGAAAAACGGCAAGCGGCAGACCGAAGGAGGCGCGCCGATCGCAAGGCCAGCGATTTAGTTGTGTGGCACTATATAAAATAGTGGCGCTGAGCGTCACACTTAAACCATTTACACTATTCTTTTTAAAATAGTACATATTTCTCAACAAGAGTAGAAAGTGAGCTCCATAAATCTCGCTCTTCAAACATACGTCTCTAAATATTTGTAATGACCCTCTTTCACTTACTTTTTGCTGCCTACAAAGACTAATTAAATACAAATATTCAGTTATCGCTTTATTTCAGTTAGGAACATTTCACTAATAGCATTTTTTTATAGGCCTTCTATTTAAAACAATGAGTTGGCACTTCCATTTCAGTTAATGAAACAATAACAAATGTTTGTTTATGTCGGAAAAATCCCAAAAAGATAGTAAACATTACTTTTGCAAAGTAAACATTCTTTTTTCCTCGTAAACAATTTAATGATGAATTTTTGAAGGTGATAAACATATAATGAAAACAGATGATTTTACAGTAGCGTAACCAAATAGTAGTTTTCATCACTAGGAGCGAAAGTGGATCTTTTTGGTACACTTTGTGTTTTACAAGCGAGGTGCGGCGGAGCTTGGAAATACGACTAAGTACCAAAGAGACACTTTGACTCCTTGTGATGAACAACTATTTTTATCATACTGTCGGAATAATATTACAAAATTACACCACATAATTTTGGGTTGTACAAAGTTGTCATCAATGACATTTCTGTTGTTTACAAACATAACTTAAAATTAAGTGTGATTAGCACCGTTTTTATAACATTTATAATGTGCCATTAACAAATTTTGAGGTTAGCAAACCAAAACATTTACCATATGTTTTTTTCTTTTCCCTATTTGAAGTTAACCGAAAACGATGATTTTGCGGACGATTGAGAGAACTTAAAACTGCTGTTTTCCGGACATTATGGTGAAACATTTCCTACAGATACCAGACAGTTGCTTTTCCTGCACTGAAAATAACACACAAAGTAGCTGATTCCTGTATTTACTTACTTTCCCACACTCAAAATATTTTCCATATGCTACGCACCATAAAGCTTTCTATAGACTTTTCATTAACTTAGGCCTACAAAATTCCTATGGCTATTAAGTTAGCCCACATTGAACTCAAAGTCATTTCTTTCTTAATAAAGATAATTCCTAATTTGTGTTTTATTTCTGTCTAATAAGGTAAGTCTTTGTCTTAATCTTATAATTATGAATTATTTTAAGAATAAATAGATTTGATTTGTTAAAATATAAAATTTATTAATGAAATACAAGATAAGTTAAGTTGGTTGAATTAGCTACAGGGTAAGTTAACAATGGTAAATTTTCAAAATGGTGGGGTTTCCAAAGTGGATGATATTATTCTAGGCTTATTGGGTTGGTTTCTTCTAAAGTACTAATTAATATTTGAATAGATGACCTCTTAATCTCAGGGAGGGGTGGTCGTGCCGGTTCGAATGATATATTAGGCTTCTTTAAAATGTAGATAATTTAATTTAGTTATTATTCTGAAATACTAGGTTCGTGATGCTATTAATATAATAATGTTAAATGTCCAAAGAAAGATTCCAAATGGTTTCACTGAATTTAATGAAATAAAATAGAATTTGAAGATTAAATTTTGAATAAAAGTTCAATTTGAAATATATATATCTTGATGATTTAAATTAATTGGGCCTATTAGGCTATGCTGATTAAATGTCCAATGAAGATTAAATTTGTCCTTAGTTAAATAAGATGGATGATGGTTACCAAATCTGGAGTGTCTGTCTTCTTATAAATTGGTACTCTTCAATGCACTTGTCCAATACTTTTGGATGATGAGAAATTGAAATTTTAGGTTTTACTTTGGGATTATGAATTTTAGTTTAAATTAAACACAATTTCCAATAGAATGATGTTCACACTGTGAAGAGTTGGCAGGATCTGGGGAGAGGCAATGGTAGAAGCTCAGGAAGTCCATGTCCATTGTTGAAGTGATGCACAGCTGGTTAATTTACATGAATGACACTTGCCACAGTAATTTTGATTTTCTTTGGATAATTTTGAAAAATGATACTATATTTAAGATGTTATTACTATATTGCAATTTTCTTACAATTATATATTATTCTAAATAAATGATTATTGTTGGTTTTTTGATGAGTACAGGATAGGTATGGAGAGAATTTGCATAAATATTATATTGTAACATAAAATAGGATGATGTTTCTGTGGGGTGATGGGATATTATATAACATTGAACAAAATTGGATAAAATAACACATTAACAAGGAGAAACATATTAAATAACTGATAACACATTATCAGGGGCATTAACAGACATTATGAGAGAAAATATACAAAATAATAGAGAAATTAATGTTAATGATGAATGAATGACATGTAATATTACACATAGTATTAGGAACGTAATACGTGTACGCATGAAAACAAGTTAGCAACACTACTAAATTGATCAGATGTTGCAGTGTTTAGTTGTCGCTCAACTTTTTGGACTTAACTAATGTTACTGTGGGACTAAACAACACTAGTAGTCAGTCATGCTTCCAATACTATGGTGTATGGGCCTAAGCATTTGTTATTAGCCAAACTGATATTTTCCAAGTTTGTAATTGTAAGAGTGTCTGTCCGCAGGTGCTTGATGGTGAGGAGATGTTGTATGCTGTAGGTCAGGGTGCTCTGGCAGTGGAGTGTAGGGAGAATGACTTAGCCACCATGTCACTGCTACATCCTCTACATCACCAGGCGACCACTGCCAGGGTAGTGGCTGAGCGTAGCTTCCTCTGTACTCTAGGTATGTTACTACCTAGAGCTGCCTAAACGCTCAACTGTATGATCACTTGGGAAAATTTACAATTCTTTTAACATGTTATGATAAAGTAGCATAGATTAAACAGTATTTTGATTATCTGTATGGGTAGTGTTTTTACTCACCCTGTATTTGTTGCTGTGTGGTAAAAAGTATGTAACTCACTTAACAAAATGTCAGTTACCATGGAATCCTGTGCTCAGCAAGCCTCTTGTAGGAACTATCATGCTCGTGCCATAAACACCCACTTCTCATATTTGTGGCGTAAATACACTACAACACTTTAGAACATAATATTTGTAAAACTAGCCGCAGGACTATTTTTCCAATCTATCATTTTCGGAAACCAATTCAGGCACAAGCCTATCTAGACATGCTCTAAAAAAATACAAGATTTAAGATTTTTTTACTTTTGCATTTAACCTACGGTTTTCATGAATTAAAAATTGAGAGTCTGATGTTTAGAGCATAGAAAAGTAAATATAAGAGTCCCTGCTGTTATTTTAAGGATTGTAGACTCAAAGAATGTATTTTTGTACTGTATGTAACAGGTGGAGGGTGTTCAGCCCCAGTTGCAGTCGAGAGCAGTGTGAGAGGTGCATCACTGGCACTCACTGGCGCAGTGTGGAGTCTGGATGGTACTGAAACCTTGCGCCAGTCCAGTGAATGTCGTCTGCACTCTGACCCTGACAGTGACGAGTATGAACCAGCCAGGTGGGTTGGATTTTATCTCACTGAATATGTTTTTTAAATTTTACTATATAAACTTAAAACTTTGTTTAACTTCAAAACATCTATTTTCTATAAGTACATGTTCGCTTGCTTGGTAGCTTGCTCATTCATAAAATCCTACATTACACCTGGCAGTATAAAGAAAAAGTGAATTCCTTGCGGGTCGCCGGAAATATACCCCGGATATTTACCTCCATGAAAAAACGCCTACCTACATCATTTTGACGTCACATGTCTGGGGGTGGATTTCCGGCCCAAACTTTTTAATCAAGATAACAATAAACTTGACACCGGAATTTTACCCCCGGACATCTCCCCCTGGACGTCTACCCCCAGAAATCTACCCCCAGTGTTCAAATCAGAAATGTCCGATCCCGGGATTCTACCCCCAAAAATACAACCCTCTGTGGTCGGCTACGCTACGCATCGGCCAAATTTAAAACATATCATTCAAGGAGGCTATTTTCTAATTACTAGAGGTCCTACAAGGGGGTCCTAGAGGTTCTACTATGTAATTAATTGTTGATGAAAAAGCCTGCCACTGGTTGATTAATAAATTAATGAATTATTTCATTATTAATTCCTTTTTAATTACCATTTTGCGCTGCGGTACATCTTAAGCTTTAAAATGACACCTCAATCGTAAAAATCTGCAAAGTAGGTCAGGTGAAAAAGGACTGATACAGCTTATTGAATTAGAAAGATAGATAATGTTAAACAAGACAACGACATATCGCATGCTTAATACTGGATATTAGAAGGTAATGATTGACCGAAGAGCCGTATTTACATTAACTAATTAATAAAATCAATTACAACAACAAATCTTGCCGATAAGTAGCCTAGTGTAGACGACCACTGGGGGTAGATTTCCAGGAGTAGATTTCTGGGTGTAGATTTCCAGGGGTAGATTTCCAGGGGTAGATTTCCAGGGGTAGATTTCCGGGGGTAAAATTCTGTGGTTTGGGAAATCACTTTATAAGCAAACAATTACATTTTGATTATTTAGTAATATATTGGGGGTAAATTTCCCGTCGCGGTCTGTTTCTCAACCGAGTACAGGCCCCGCCCCTCGTGACGTCAAAATGGCGTAGGCGCTTTTTCTTTGGGGTAAATATCGGTGGGTATAAATCCGCTACCCCTTCCTTGCAATTTGGGATTCCCAATTCCAGGCCAATATTTAAATCCCGGGATCTATGGTTGAAATTACATTTTAAACAGTTAGGCTAGCTTTATGCTACTATATAGTCACTTAAAAGTTAAAATATTCATTTTACCAACTAAATCAAGTTAATATACGGAGTGTCCCACGAAGGGGTTTAAACGTTTCATATTACGTGCCCATTCATGCACCGAACTTTCTTAAACTTTACACAGTTTACAAGGTTCTAAAAATATTCTGGAAAAATTTCAACTCCCTAACCTTAGTAGAAACAAAATGGTGGCATATTGACAAATTTACCAATGTGCTTTCTATAAAAACTACTTTCATGATTTATTATTAGTTATTTATTTATTATTATTATTTATTAGTTATTTGATTTATTTTTAGTTTTCCATTAGGCTATATTCTAGTTTTTTTTATTCAAAAGTGATATTGCCCTGGAAAGTAAAGATAAAAATATTTCATAAAACCAAAAATACCTTTTTTAATGTGTTTAAAGTAACGTTGTTCAATATGCCGCCATTTTGTTTCTACTGAGGTTAGGGAGTTGAAATTTTTCCAGAATATTTTTATAACCTACTTTGTAAACTGTGTAAAGTTTCAAAAAGTTCGGTTTATGAATGGGCGCGGCGCGTAATATGAAATCAAACGTTTAAACCCCTTCGTGGGACACCCTATTATTAATTATTATTAATGGGACACACTAAATATTAATTATATACCCAATTTGTCACTATTTCATATTGTAGTGTGTAGATTATCTGAATCCTACCTTCAATTATCCAGCATCCAGTGTCAAGTACCTTTATGTGTGGTATTACTGTACACCGTAGCATGTTGTGTCAGGAAAACCTCTTTTGTATCCCTGCACATCACTGTATTTTCATATTACTTTAGACGTAGGTATGTTGCTAGCCTAGTGGTAAGCGTCTCTGACTTCAGTGCTGGAGGGACGGATTCAATTCCCGTATTCACAAAACTTTTTTTACGTTTACCTCTTGTGAAATGCCACTGGTGTAAAAAAAGACATTGCATACCACTCAGTCCGCCAACTTCTCATAACTACACATTTCTCTGCTGTTCCTCATATCTTAGTCTCTGTGTGGTTGAGTGGATGAGTTTATTTCCATGATTATTTTAATTACAGTAGTCGTGTTTTTACTTTTTCAGTTATTTTTTATGTTTTGTGATGATGGCTTCAAAATAGAGAAAGGCAGTGGTTTGATGTAATACAGACTCATATCATTAGGTTTGCTGAAGGAGAAATAGTATTCATTTATAGGTTTTTAACATGTTAACAATTTTCTTAAGTTATCCAACACTTTTGCTTAGACAACCTCATTATGACTGGAGGCCGCTTTAGCAAAAGACTCAAACGAGAACACAATGTAGACGTAACATAACACATACAAAATTCCTATTACAAGTTAGTTTGTCTTTGCCATGACACTAAAAATGTTGTCGATTTCACAGGAAGTGTCCGTACCGGGAACCCCGTCTGTTTGTGGGAGTCGCCCAGGGTCTTCTAAGTCCCAAGGATCTGGAGACGGCAGAAAAACTGGGTTCGGACCTTGCAGCGAACCTTATACACGATGGTGCCTTACAAATCATGTCAGCTGCTAAAAAAGAAGTGGTTTCATCGATCAATTAGAATTTATACATTTTTTTATCCAATTGGATGATTTACCAGGTGTAGGAAGTTTGTACAGCGGTTGTTGATTTTGCTCATTGTAGCTATAGTTTATATCTTATACAATTTGTTAATAATTTTATTTCAATGGGACTTGTTATGTATATTTTGTTGATCCGTTGGTTTTCGGTATAGATATTATATTTGTAAAAAATAAACAAGTTTTAACATTCTACTCTTTGGTTTTCTATAACCTTACAACTTAATTCATATAAGAACATCCTACATCTAGTAGGTATAGGTCTGGCTTGGAAGTTCACATGATCCATTTGTGATATATTGCAAAACTGTGAAAAAAAACTATTCTGTTGGTCACTTCAACTATTTATCACATTTTAAATACATCAATATTGTAATCATCAAACGGGCTACAAGAAAAGAAGCATACTTTGAGTAAACTATCAGCCTGTATGAATAATAAATTGTAAGATTGTTAATATTGTAAAATTTTGGGGAGCGAGCTGGTCTAGTGGTAGGGCACAGGACTTCAATCCCTGAGGTGCCAGGTTCAAACCTCGTCAGATATAACCAATGGATTTTATCTAAGTCATAATGCCGCAACCCCTACAAGGTCTATCCTGAAGTAATGTGATAAACGATCCCAGACTTGTGCCTAGCATCCTGAGACAACAAAAAAATATTGTTAAGTTTTATCATTCCATAAAATATTCTAATTTTTTTTTAAACTTATTTGCATCCAAAAAGTGCAAATCAGTACAAATGGCTTGTCTGCAGCAATTAATAATAAATAATTATATTATTTCACAGTGCTTTTTTCTTCAATCAGCCTTTTGTCATTTTGTTTTCTTGTTTATATTTAAATAATTTATAACATTATGAAATATATACAGAATATAAAAAATACTCAAACAAATATCAGAGAAATCATAGAATTCAAATTAGGCAGTATTCAACAATTTATAAACTGAAAAAAGTCATTCAAATTGTACTTGTAAACCTTGCTCTTTCTAATATAGGCTAAGGCTACTACCATTGACTTTCTATTGGTTTTCTATAACCTTACAACTTAATTCATATAAGAACAATAATGTCCTACATCTAGTAGGTATAGGTTTGGCTTGGAAGTTCACGTGATCCATTTGTGATATATTGCAAAACTGTGAAAAAAAAACTATTCCGTTGGTCACCCCAACTACTTATCACATTTTAAATACATCAATATTGTAATCACCAAACGGGCTACTTGGGGAGCGAGCTGGCGTAGTGGTTAGAGCGCGGGACATAAGTCCCTGGGGTCCCGGGTTCGATCCCCGCCAAGTCACCAATGGATTTTATCTAAGTGATAATGCCGCAACCCCTAGGTCTAGCCTGAAGTAATGTGAAAAACAATCCCAGGCTCGTGCCTAGCGTCCTAGGATAAAAAAAAAAAAAAAAACAACCACCATTAACTTGGATGCTGAAGTTGTAATACTAGTCAAAGCTACTTATTAATCACATTTTATGATTATTTAATTATATTTCAGTATTGTTTATCTCCAGCATTTAAGTGATTAATGTTAAACACCACTTTAAGTTAACAACCTCTCCGTTTCACTTTGTGCAGATATTACATGTAACTGTTTTGAAATACTATGATAAAACAGCTCGGTGATCACTTTGTCCCACGTTAAATTATATAGTTTGAATTATTACTTAATAATTCAGTTGGATGTTGGATGATTTAAAATTTGCTACAACAAAGGTCTTAATAATTTCTTATCAATAATCAATATATTTAAAATATATATATATATATTTTAAATATATATATATATATTTTAAATATATATATATATATATATTTTATAAATAGAAAATCAGGTTTCTGGAATTATTTAGTCTCTATGCTGAGTAAAAGTTTTAAAATGCTATGAAAAACTGTAGCTTAACTGGTTTTAGAGGAAAGATCAATATTATCTAGTCTACAAGGTCAACCAAACAAGAGTTCATGAGTCTTATATAATCTTGTAGTCACAGCCAGTGGATGGAAGATAGAAGGGAACCTAAGACTGTGAGATAACGGAGAATTCTTGGTTATCAGACTGTATTCCGGCTTGCTTATCAGGTAAAGTTTATTCCTCTTACTTTGTCATAGTTTCACTTATAAAATTATGTTAAAGTGTGTTCATTTACAGGTTTAACGAGTATGTATAGGTTTGCTGCTACAGGTTGGATAACAAAGTGTTTTTAGTGAAATTTTATTATCTTAGTAGTAAGTTTGATTTTATTAATAGGCTATATCCATAAACAAGCAACAAATAATAGTTCCATAATAGTTCACTTGGTACTTTCCTGTTAAAGGGAACATTCATTATTATCGATGATTTTTTTCGATATATCGATATTAACAAATTGAAACATATCAGCTGACAACTACGATAAATATTGTTCAGTATATGAAACTGTTCTAAAAAAATAACCTAACATAACTAACCAAACTTGCTGTAACATTTAAAAATTCCGTGTTTAACTTGCCTTTTCTATTATCAAACCCAAACGGAAGTTTTAAATGGTACAGCAAGTTTGGTTGGTTATGTTAGGCTAGCTTAGAACAGTTTCATTTCTTAATCCTTATAGACTATTTTAGCCTAAACAAGATCAGTTAGTTGTTGTTGTCAATTTGTAATACATCTGATCCGAAAACAAAAATATCGATATATCGAAAAAAATTATCGATAATAATGAATGTTCTCTTTAACAGGAAAGTACCGTTCACTTTTTATCTCCATAAGAATAACATGAGAATTTGAAATTTACAGTTTTTTTTTATTTTCTCTGTAACTATTAAGAACAACACTTCAGAGTACTAAAATATTTGTTTTTAAGCTCTTCTAAATGATGTAGGAAAATTTTTTCAAAATTTTATGTTTAGAAAGTCAGCAATTGGAGAAACAATCTTTACTTCGGCAAAAAACTCAAACAAACCATATAAAACCCCATTCCTATGGTCTGATCATACTGGTTCGCAAATTAGTTGAATATATGTAGGTTTACATGATTGTATCAAATTTTATCAAAATCGGGTGATTTTTATGGGAAATTTGCTTAGTCTGCAGGTTTGCTGCGGCAGGGTTATTAACATACACAAGTACTAGCTGTATCCGCGGGCTTTGCCCCGTTTTACTTCATAAGTGAGCTCGTTCGCATGGCTCAATCACGTCCTGGTTGAAGTTCGTTCGCTACGCTCACCTTTAGGCTGGAGCTCGTTCGCTGCGCTCACTTGCCTTCAGGTTAGCTCTTTCGCTACGCTAACTCGCCTCCAGGTTGAAGTTCGTTCGCTACGCTCACTCACCTTTTGGTTGCAAATTAGCTGTTGTCATAAATAAAAAAAAAGTGCTGCACCCTGTTGGTAATCCTTGTAACTTTAATGCTATTGAACATCATAGAACAGAACCAACTTGCTTAATTGAAACAGCTGTTAAGATTCATTAATTCCATTTAAATATGAGTACTCATAAGTTTAACATGGGAAACTCCAGAGCCACTGGGGCGGAGCCCGAGAGTCCGATCAGAATAAAAACAATTTAGTTTTCCTATTTAATGCCTAAAGAATCAGTGTACCAAATTTCAGCCTCCTAGGTAAATGGGAAGTGGGAGAATTAGTGATGAGTGAGTGAGTGAGTGAGTCAGTCAGTGAGGGCTTTGCCTTTTATATATATAGATACACTACTAATAGCTGTGGTGGTTGTGTGGTATTGAGTTTCTATATTGTGAAAGTACTGTTATTACCGGTACAGTCTCTTTCTTAATCCTGAATAATTTTTCTCCCATTACATTATTATATTGACCTCTTATTCCTGTTATCAGTAGGTTTATTATAAATTTAAACTACATTATGGTAATTTTATGGAAAAATGTACCAGTCTTAATGTCAAACACCTCTTAGACTCTCCCTAGCTCTAGTTTTATTGGAGGATTAATTCATGAGTATTTGTTGACAAACAGCATCTAAATAACTTCTTGATCAGCATTATACGTGTTATTAAATTTATGGAAAGTAAATAAAAGAAACGTCTTATAACACTTAAAACATGTATTTACGCTTATACTGTTACTCACAAAACGGTAAATATACCAAAAAGATGGTAAGTGGTGATCGATTTCGATTGGACACTCCAATCATCATCATCAGACCTATCACCTAATGGGTCTGATGTTGATCACCACTTACCATCTTTTAGCGAATTTCCCATATAGGGAATAAGCTATTACTGTAGTACTCATGGTAAGACCTGGATCCAGGACCGATTAAATTTTTCGTTTTGAGGTCCCTAGAGGCCAAAAACACCATCTGTTCAAATTCATATAAAATGGGGTTTTCCCATTTTTGACCCTAAAAAAAAAATTTTGGAATTTTTTTTAAAACCGTTTTGCAGAATCCCCATCAGTAAATAATGCAATTCAACTACTTTCATAGCAAAAAATCATTCTCTAAAAGATGTATTAACTGCGGCAAAATTTAACCACTAACTTAATTGCCAAACCATACCGGGTGTCTTTGAAAACTAATTTCAATTTCAAGAAATATATCAACCTCATACCGGTATATTACATGGGTATTCTCAGGCAGAGGTTGGTTGCCGCAGAAGACTAAACGATGGGTGGAATAAGACAATTTCCCTTTTCTCATTGATGTGTCTGGTGCAATACATTTGAATACGATGGCAAGCCTCAATGATCTGTGGTTGTGGAACAGTCAGACAGAACTAGCCGTATGTAACCGGCTTAAAAAAAGAAATAATTTAGTATATTGAAGCGCTGTTGTATGCCTAAACGGTCACGGAGAAAATTCAAAGATAATGTAATTTAAAATTCCCATGTTATTCTTATGGAGAAAATGAGAACTGTTGTAGTTTACTTGGTTATGGATATATATTGATAACATTTGGCATATTCATTTATTTCACGTATTTTAAATATGGTCAAAAACACTTTTTACCTTCCCCGTAGCAGCAAACCTAAGCACTCGTTAATTCTAATGTTAATTAAATTAAATTGGGGGAGCGAGCTGGTATAGTGGTTAGAGCGCGGGACTCCGTGTTATTGTTATAAGACATTTCTTTTATTGTCTTTCTGTAAACAGCATCTCTTAGATACTAGTGACAGCTATTTGAAACACCGTCTAATTATATAGAGTCAAAGGAGAGGGAGTTCCTGCAGCCTGTCTGTATTACGAACAATAAATTACTATAATATCTGGCTCCGTCATGTCACTACCTAAGTTCTCAGAATGTTTTATCGGCACAATTAATTAAGTCCCACGCCTTGCATTAAAACACACCTCGCAAAACACAATATATCAAACCTAAGGCAAAGGCGAGGTCGGGAAATGAGCGATGGTTGAAAAGACACCTTTTGCCCATGAGATGAACTATATTTTTCCTCATTGTACCATTATTTGAACAAACTATGTTACAAAACTAAAGTAGTTTTCATTTAAAGATAACCTCTGAAAACTACTTCTAACTTGTTTTCAATTTTTAATTTGCTAATGGAAACAAGCAGCTGTTTTGTAAGTGATTCAATCGTTTCACTATTGTGTTTGTGTAATTTATACTATTGATATGTCAAACTATTTACAATAACGCAACAATAAGATACAATCGATTAAACATTCGATACAAACTTTCAATCCATGTGATTGTTTACAATCAAAATTTACCAGTGAGTTTACAGCTGCTGATTTTTACCCCATAGAGAGTAAAAATGCTACTTAAGATCCGCAAGGCATGCATTTAAAACGGCTAATTTTACTGCAGTGTGACGAAAACAATATTCTTTTGCAGTGTTGAGTATACAATGTGTATGCAATATTGAAAGTGAATTAAATGTGGAACATTGTTTACTTAAAAAAGCTGTAAGCTTGTTATGAACTCTCCAAATTTATTTTAATAACATTTTATTTCAGAATAACGACTATGAAGATACATTTATTGCTGACATGTTTGCTGAGCTGTGTAAGCTTCATCCACTCTGCCAAAATTCTAGCAATCCTCCCGTTCCCAGGGAAAAGCCACTACATTTTTGAGAGTTCTATTGTAAAAGCCCTTGCCCAAAGAGGGCACCAAGTTGTAGAATACAGCCCCTTTCCTCCAAAGAAGCCCATTCCAAATCTGACTCATGTAAAGGTTTACACATTCTATGAAGAAATGTTTGGTAAGTTCAATAAATATTGTGTACCGGTATACACTTTGTGTGCTGTTAATAAACAAACAATATTAATGAAAGTACATAATATTTACATGTACCGTACATGAAATGTAAGGTGGGAGTCAAATTAATCAAGCAATTTGAATACATAGGTAAGATAAGTTATTTGTGAATCATGAACACATTAGGCATTAGAAGTTAGCAATAATATTTTACTTAACTAGGTACCTAAAGGGTGTCCCAGTAAGAACGCCGGATTTGAGGAGCGTCTTATCCTTATCTGTATTTCAATAGGAATTCCCAAATTATCAGCGATGTTATCAGTATTAGGTCCCATTTGTAGTCATGAATCGCTACACGACGGAACAACGCGTGGTCATAGTTAAAGTGCACTACAAGCACGGAAGCTGCGCGCTATTTACGGCCGGGACAATGCACCAAATGATCCATCCGTCCGAGGATTCGAAGTTCGAATAAATTGGCTCAGTTCTATTTTGGGGATATTTAAAGTCGCTTGTTTTCGCCAATAACCCTCAAACAATCCAAGACTTGAAGGAGGAAATGATTCGTGCTATTAATGGAATTCAACAGGAAGTGTGTGAAAAAGTTATGGAAAACTTTGTCCAGAGATGTCGAGCTTGTCAGTATTCAGCTCAGCAGGTTGGCGCTTACAAAACATAATACTCAATTACTAATCGGAGATACAATGAAATATTCATGTTTCATATTGTAAATTTAGGGAGAAAATATATGGTTTGTTAACATTTCAAATCCGGCGTTCTTATTGGGACACCCTTTATATTCTTTATTTTTCAGCCAATTGGGACTTCAAAGAGATGATAAAACATTCAGATTCCATGGACAACTTCTTCGGTCTTGCCTGGCTGCATATTTGGAACTTCATGTTGCCCATTTGTGATGAAATTTTGAAGAGTGATAGTATTAAGAATCTGCTAAACTCAAATGATCATTATGACCTGGTACTAACAACAGCTACTTTTGGACAAGAATCTATGTTAGTGTTTGGTCACAAATTCAAAGCTCCAACAATCACACTACAAGCCTTTCGACACTCGACCTTTCTTAATAGAGATGCCGGTAATGATTTGATGATTGCCTCTATTCCCGACTCTATGTCCTTTGCTTTCACAGACAAAATGACGTTTTTGGAAAGATTCCGTAATTTTTGCTCTTCTTTCTCAACTCTGTTTTTGTACTACTTTTGGTACCTTCCTTCTCAGGAAAGTGTTGTCAAGAAGTATTACAATTCTCCAGATCTGCCATCGTTATCTGAAATGACAGCAAACGTATCGTTAACTCTCATTAACACACATCCCGCTGTCTCATACCCTCAACCATTTACACCTAACACCGTTCCTATCGGTGGAATCACCATAAGTCCAGAAAGGATACCTCTGCCACAGGTAAGAATACAATCAATATTTGTAGGCAATATTTTAATAGGCCAACATGAGTTTTGTGATAATTGTTTTGAAGCTGAACCACAACCGATCACCATTTCCAAGGTGTCGTTGGATAAGTTGTGGCACATAGATTTGCCATCAAATAAATAATATTTGAAATTACATCAGAGCTCTGCCCCTGTAGCCTTCTAAGTTCCCATGTTAAATTGAGAAAATGTTTGGTTACATTTGAACATACTTTGAAATTCACTACACAATCATATTTCAAACAGCTGATTGTAAATAGTAATTGATGGAAATACTAGCTGTTTTGCCCGCTCTTCGCTTGAATAAACTTTTCAATTGTAAAATAAATTCATCACATGTGAAAGCTGTTGGAATTATCATTGGATGATGGAAATAATTACCAATTGAATAGATTTCTCGTTATAAATGAACCATCAAAAAAATAATAGTGAATTTGCGTATTTAGATTTATTTTAGAAATCCCAATTTGATTAAACTCAATTTTAATTTATTGGAAGAACTTTTATGTGGAGCACTTATTAATATGTACTTATTAGATGGGTATATGCAGCTAGAAGTATTTGAAAAAAAAGATATAGAACTAAACATAAATTTATAGATGAGTGTGGTATAGGTGATTTACCATGGTAACTTCATTAGTTTAAGATCATCTCTTCCTGTTGGTAGATTTGTTATTGAAAGACTTCTCCTGTGTAATGCTTTGTAGTATGTGTAGTGCTTTGTAATAGTAAATTTCATCTCTAGAGCCTAAAGTTACTCTTTTCAACCCGAGGCCAAGCCGAGGTCGGAAAATGAGCTAGGGTTGAAAAGAAACTATTTGCCCGTGTAATGAACTATATTTTTCATCAAATTGCACCACTATTTGAACAAACTATGTTAAAAAACTAAATAGTTTTCATTTAAAGTAACCTCTCAAAAATACTTCTAACTTGTTTTCAATTTAATTTGCTAATGGAAACAAGCAGCTGTTTAGTAAGTCATTTAACCATTTCATCTATTACAATTATGTTAGAGTACTATTGATATGTAATAGTATATTACGTAACTAGTCCTGAAAATAGGTGTTTACAGGACGAGTGATGTACCGATACGATATTTTACGCCATACTACTAAATCCGTACAAATCCTTATATATTACCACTGACTAGAGAACTAACAGTCACTAGTACAGTATATAATCAGCTAGTTGGTGTCCGGTAAAACTCATTACAGTACAGTAGTACACAATGAAACCCTATTTGATTAAGCTGACGGCAAACAGCTGTTTTCTGGACTAAATCCTTGTGTGGGAAGTTCGTCAAAACAGTGTAGTGTGGCGTAAAACTATTTACAATAAGGCAACAATAAACTACAATCGATACATACTTTTGATACATGTGATTGTTTACAATAGAAATTTACAACTGAGTTGACAACAGCTGATTTTTACTCACTAGGGGCTTAAAACAATTTCTACTCCCTAGAGAGTAAAATTCCACTTTAGACCCGCACATGCATGCATTTTTAATGCATTCATGCATTAAAAACGGCTGTTTTTGCTACAGTATGTTGAAAAATTGTTTTGTATTCCTATTTTCTGACACACTTGTGTTTCCAGGATATAAAAAAGTTCATGGATGACGCCAAAGAAGGAGTGATCTACTTCAGCTTCGGCACAGTCGTCTCTACCCACACAATGCCTCCAGAAACACTTCAATTGTTTGTCAATGTGTTCAAGAAACTTCCACAAAAGGTGTTGTGGAAGATAGAAGCTGACACTCTGCCTGGATTGTCTAAAAATGTGAAACTTGTGAAATGGGTTCCACAGCCAGGGGTTTTAGGTACGTTTGAGAGCTTTTACCTAAGACAAAAACTGATTTTACCCTGACAAATATCACCTTTTGGTTTTTTTGCGAACGCAGCATTTTTGAAGCTTACAACTTTCCCTATTCATTATGGAAAAACCTAAAACACCAATAGAAAAACAGAATTACACACATTTTGAGTGCAAAGCATCAATAAATAGTGAAATTAAAATTATCTATTTTAATAAGAACAGTATGACAGTTTGATTTTATCAAAGTCTGTACACTTTCACTTATTGAAGTTTCATAACTAGACTACGATGATGTCATTTGACCTTTAATCAAGGCTATGATCAAAGAATAATAAAGCTTCCTTTAGTAGTAAAATAGTGAAAACAAATACAATTACAAATTTCACAGCGTTTTCATTAAATTTTAAATTTACATTATTTTTTAATACCAATTACAAAATGTATTCCAGGTCATCCCAACTGTGCTGCCTTCATCACTCATGGTGGAGTCTTCAGTCAGTTGGAGGCTTATCACGCTGGGGTCCCAGTTGTTGGTATTCCATTCTTCGCTGACCAGTTTTTCAACATAAAATTCAATGAAGAGCAAGGCATTGGTGTGAAAGTCGATTTTAATACGCTTTCAGTAGAAAGTCTCTTATCTGCATTAACCAAAGTTTTAAAGGAGCCAAAGTAAGTATGCACTAGGGAAAAAAAATACTAAGTTAGGTGCATCTTAAGACAGTTGACATCTTAGACCTGCCTTATGCTCTAAACCGCAATGCCTGGCTTATGCTCGAAACACTAAACAGCAATACCTGCCTTATGCTCTAAACACTAAACAGCAATGCCTGGCTTATGCTCTAAACACTAAACAGCAATGCCTGCCTTATGCTCTAAACAGCAATGCCTGGCTTATTCTCTTAACAGAAATGCCTGCCTTATGCTCTAAACACTACTTCTGAGCTACTGTATTTGGTGTCAGTATTTATCTGTAAGTTTAAAACTTTATATGACTAAATGTTTGTGTGAAGATTGAACCGAAATATACAGGGTGGTACAAAAACAATAGGCAGTTTGTCTGAAGGTGAGGCAGTAGAAGGGCCTCCCCAACAGAATTGTGCAGTGGAGCATTTCTAGGAAAGGGTGGATTCTACGTTGCTAGATATTGAATTATGTTGTCAGTTGTTACATCAATATGGTTGTCACATTAATTTCTCCCTGATACTTGATCTTAAATCAACCATTTGTTTCAAACCAAAAGGGTTTGAATGTAGGGCATAAATATCAAATCCCAAATGCTTACCGAGTCAAGAAAACCTTAACAATTTTTGAACATCAATACTTTAGTCCTTGTTGCTGTAGGAGACAACGTATAGACAGTCTGCTAGAGACTCCTTAAACCTCCTTAAATTAATCTAGTATTAACACATTTGCTACCACTCATCACGTATATTCGACGATACGGTTATTGCCACGGACCAAGGTATACGTTTTAATATTACACATCTAGACTGGGTGTCCCTTGGTTCGCAGTACACACAGACCACGGGTCAGTGATGCAGCAAAGTAAAAAACCGATTGGCCGAAAAGCTGTGTTTGATGTTTCTGGACCTTCTCGTCAGTCAATACATATTTTTTCATTCAGGTACAAGGAAAACGCAGCTCGAATCTCACGTGTATTCCGAGATGTGCCAATGTCTGCGGCAGATACAGCTGTGTTCTGGACGGAGTACATTTTACGACATGCAGGAGCGCCACACCTCCGACCAGCTGCCTCCTCTCTGCCTCTCTATCAGCTGATGTTGTTGGACGTTGCAGTTGTCGTGTTGGCAGCATGTGTCATTATTATTGCACTTCCTCTCTTTGTCATAAAGAAAGTAATTTCTCTGTTATGTGGAGGGAAAAAGAAAGTAATCGGTGAAAAGAAATATAAATGATTTTTCTCAAATTGTTTATTGATTTGCCCCGAACTTAAGTGGTTTTAATTTGAAATCTATAAAATATGAGAAATTTATTTGGTCAGAACTAAACATAACATACGGTATTGAAAGCATTAAAAAAAAGTTTTGTTTGGTTACAGGTTGTGGGTTGATTAATTTGTTTGATTTTTTTAGGTTTCAGTATGGTAGTGATGGTAGTTAAGAAGTCTACATTTTGAATGAAATAATAAAACACGTCAACTCTATTTCACACCTTAAATTATTTTATTGTTGATGTTTTCAATTCATGTTCCAGTACATTTATTGTAAAATAAACTTATCAACTAAATCACATTATAAAAATTACTCTGCTTACTCCAAATGATTGCACTAGTATGCATGTTTTTTTAAACACATATTCTTTTTAAATTAAAAACACCCTATTATCCTAGTTCTGTACATTTATACTGTATTTACAATGCTAAATTCTTCTTATGTAATCTAATACAGACTAAATGACACACAATTAATACAAATCCTTAATAAAATTTGGTTTAAATATATCACAATACATAATACATTAATAAGCTCAGAGTGAGGAGTTCAATCACACTTGACTTTATTTCAGTTAAACATTTTAGCACAACAAACAATGCAAATGTTGAAAAGTAAATTTTTGCATTTCCTAATTGAAAGGTAAAACAATATCAATCAACATATTTTTAAAGCACACTGACAATATTAATTGTCACTAACTTATACAGAATCTACTTGTTCTAGCAGCTTCAACCCAAACTACAGCAAGTTATTACATCTCAAATATGAATACTGTACTAATTTTATGTTAAAAAATTAATTAGATTCAACTAGCTTATAGCATTCATTATGGCAGATAAATATGTTTTATTTTTATAAAATAAATATACTTAAACATTTAATACTTGATTGCAAAAACCAAATTAAAGTAATGCTTGGGGTTAAAATAGTCCAAAATTTAAACTTCAGGCTACAATATTTTCCTCAGATAAATTAACCTAAGTTGTACGAGATAGAAATCACAAGTTTTCAGAATGTATTTTTATAGATACCTAACTTAGCAAGAAACTTTTATACCAAATACAAGTCCTAGGAAGAGAGAAAGTAAGTTCAGAGTATAGCTGTATCCCCATCCTAATCATTGGAGAACTATTTATACAATGGAGTTTAAATTGTCATTTCTACATATTTTGTGTGATAAACAGTATAAGCAGATTCTGAATTTTATACTTTTTACTTTCATCAGTTTTACCCCTCTTCATTTTCTCGTCTCCATAATTATCTTAAATCATAGGAATAACAAAAAAGGTATTAAATTATGAAAAATGTGCTAAAGGCATACATTTGTAATGTACTGTAATGTACATTATTTGTAATGATAATGTTTGTCACAAACCAAAGAAAAACAACGTCAACTTGGTGATTCACTAAATAAATCCCCATCAGTAAATAATGCAATTCAACTACTTTCATAGCAAAAAAATCATTCTCTAAAAGAGGTATTAACTGCGGCAAAACAGTAACTTAATCGCCAACCATACCGGGGTGTCCTTGAAAACTAATTTCAATTTCAAGAAATATATCAACCTCATACCGGTATATTACATGGGTATTCTCAGGCAGAGGTTGGTTGCCGCAGAAGACTAAACGATGGGTGGAATAAGACAATTTCCCTTTTCTCATTGATGTGTCTGGTGCAGAACATTTGAATACGATGGCAAGCCTCAATAATCTGTGGTTGTGGAACAGTCAGAACTAGCCGTATGTAACCGGGATATCCAAAACACTGAAACAAACAATTTTATCTCATATCGCTAAAAGTAAAATAATTTTCAATACGGTAAAAAAAATCCTGTAGTCATTTTTTGTGGTGACTGCATTTAACACAATACAAAACATACCATGTCTGTTACGATACTTAATGAATATCGGTAACATATAGGTTGATATGTGCAGGTGTGTTGAACGTTAGAACAGTGAACACCCAACCCAACTGCAAAAGTAGATGAAACATAACTTCCTTAGAAACAATGGACTCATCTCAATTGTCATCAACATGGTATGAGTAATTATTAGTTTAAATTAGGACAAAAGTCATACAGTTGTTGTATTGATATAGTCAAAGGTCATACACAGACTATCCCTATATTTAAGTTCTCCTACCTCTCCTGGTAAACAAAACACCGACTCTTCAGATACTAATTTCTCCACAAATTCGAGGGTTGAAGAAATCAATGGAAACTGACACAGGTTTACTCAACCTGTAACAAAAAAAGTAATGCAAATAAGTTGATGATTTATATTTTTTTCAAAAATATATTCATTGCATATTGATATTGTACCAGCCACAAATTATCTTGAAGAATGAATTCCAAAGCCTAAAATGTTGATCTAATTAAAACAGATAAGCTAACTAAACGTAATACAATCTAAAATTTATTTGGCATTCACTCCTCAGCAACTTGGTATTCAATTACTCTGTGGAAAGGAAAACTTTGGAAAAAATACATTCTTTTACCCCAAATAAAGGTCACAATAAAGAAACTAGAATAGCAAAACAATTAAATTTGTATCCTAGAAAATCAAATGAAAATGGAAGCAGTCACCAAACACTACAGATGATATAATGTATTACTCACCATCATATACATTGCACCCTGAGGCATAGTAGGTTGTATTCCAGGAACTTCGGACAACATCTTAAAAGCAATCGTAGCATGTGTCTAAAACATTAAAAAGATCATTTATGGCACAATGTCAACAATCTTTTTTTATAAGTTGAAAGAAGTTTCCTTATCAAAGGTGTGATTCTAAAAATAATCCGACCATTTTTGTCAATTCCGACCAAGTGTTAACCATTTTGCTCAGCCTAGTTTGAAATTCTAGAGTACCGGTATGTATATTTTAATGACCTCAAACAAAATATGACCAATCAAAGTATATTTTAGGGTGTAAATGTAGCCTTTATTCTAATTCCTCTTTTATTCTACCAAAGCAAAGTCCTTGGTATAGTTTTATCGTCTTATCAATCACAAGGTAAGCTATAGCATCCATAGCATCTTATAACACATCAACTATCTCACATCAAAATAAGGTAAATGTAAAAAATATAATTTTAGACACTAGCGGTGTCTGGATCTGTTACTGGATCACACAACTATGTTCTTTTTGGATAAAAAATTTGCTACAGCTGGTCCATGTAGATAGGATGCCTACTTCAGTATCCAAAAGTCAATGCTTTAACTCACATGTATCGTTTTTATTGTCTTGTCAAAGAACTGTTGGGGAGTGTGTTTGAGTATCCGAGGCAGAGCTCCCTGGACCAGAGTGTTGCTGCCAATGGTCCTCATACTCAAGTTCTGGAGGCCTCGGCGAATCTGTTGGGTTTAGATGTTCAGAACGTCATTGAATTAATACGACATAATTACGACAATAACAAGAACATAATGCTGTAAACATGTGTTGCAACATTAGTAATCATCAAAATTCATGGCACTAACGTGGTAGTTTTAGGGGTTTTGATTTATTGTTTGACTGTAAAAGTATTAACTTAGTTGCAAGTGTGTAACATTAGTTTAATCTATCCCTTCCTCTTTAGTCTTGTAAGCTGTTGTCCATCCCCCTTTCACCAGATTTGCTTACCAGTTTGATTATAGTAGCAACAGTTTTTCATTTATTTTCAAAGCACTTTAGCTGTATAGTGGTGGACAAGGTAACGTTGATTAAATGGTTGGGCCCATGCCCCAAGTTGGCTATCATTCAAGTTTGGGGATTGCTCCCATATTAGGCCTATCCCTGCTTGACTGAGCTTGCACTAAAGAGTACTAGGGAGCTTAAGGGGGTTCCCTACCTCGAACTGTTTTCAATTTTCTGCGACCCTGGTGAGTTTAGTTGGAACTACAAGACGACAAAATATTCCCTAGGATTGCTGTCTGCTGGTCCATTTAACATTATTGTGGTCCCTCCGCGAGACAGTAGTTTCGATAAAGGCCGCTAGAGTCCGTCAGAATCATAGCACTTTTCGCCGTGCAAGGTTTTACGCGGTTTCATTTTGCACATACAAAAAATAATCTTTTCTTGAAACTAAAAGTGACTTGATATTTTTAGTTAAATTTCGCACTAATATTGCTTTATTAAAAATCGATAATTTCATAAAAAGATATTATTATTTAACTGTAAAGTTCACTAACTTTGACAAGTCGTTGCCCTTGATTGCGTAAGCATAGACATTTTTTAAAAAGCAAACTTAGTAGAACCACTCTTTATGTACAAAATGGTGTTTGGTTCACAATTTAAATGTTAAAACTAGAATCGCTATATGATACCGCGCGAAGCGGTTTTCTGACGTTTTTCGGCTGGGGTAGGGAACCCTCTTAATAGCAAAAGTTAATTACTTTCTTCAAATAACAAATGAAAATACAACAATGGGTTATTTTGGTGTCTCGAAACTTTTGTTAGTTTGATAAAAAATTTCACACGATTGGCAAATTTTTACGTATTTGAATCTTGTAACAAGTATGATTATGTAAGAGTATAATTTCCTTTACATGTCGTAAGAAGAGTACTGAGAAGAAACTAAAAATGTTTTTTCCAAACACGGGCAGTAATGAATGAATAATTCTAAATTTATATCACAATCAACAACTTACCTCTTGTCCGAAGATCTGTTGTCGATCATGGATGATTATCCAGCCCATTCTCCACCCAGGAATCAAAAATCTGCAATGAGTTGAAAGTGTTAAAACTTATATATTTATACTAGTTGCTCTGCCCGTGCTTCGCTACGGGATGAGAATGCAGAAAAGAATAATTCGGGTTTTTAAATCTATATAAATAAAATTACAGTTTTGTCTGTACATTGCTTAGAATCATGCGGTTTTTGGTTATTTTTACGTTTCATAGCCTAAGAAAGCCGAAACGAGTCTTATCTCAATTTCTGTCTGTATGTCTGTTTGTCTGTCCATTCTGTGACTCCGTCTGTAACGCCAAAATGTCATTTTACACGGCCTACTCCTAGAAAACTAGAGTACCGATCAAGGTTTTAATCATTTTTCTGTATTTACTGGATTGGTGAGAGTGTCTTTGTCTATAAAAACATGGCCTCGCTTCTTCGAAAACAAAATAACGAACCACCAAAAACCCTATTTTGTTAGATTTTTGTCACATTTTATCCCAATGTTTACTATTACATTACATTTTATGAAATAACGATCAGCTGTTTGGATTAGTTCTCACTTCTAGCTGTCACCGATATGTTTACATTAAAAGTTGTTTACAAATAGCGCAACCATTTCCGATCAAGTTTTGTCAGCACATCCAAACCAATTGAGATTAAAAACGTTGTGCCTTACTTAACCGGTTTAATTAATCGCAAGTGCAACGATTGTTCTTATGAGTTTTGATAACCGGGGAAAATACCATGAATCAGTGTTGTATTAGTGCAAGGAAACTTAAATTTTTTAATCATCGTCACCAATACCGTAGCTTACAAAGGTTTCCACTCATTGACGGCGCTTCAAGGACAGTTGTGTAAAGTGCAAAGTAAAAAATCACGACTGCAGTGGGTGATCGTGGATGTTGCTGCGATCTTGGAAGATCTTTCTGATTTCGCTGTGATCGTAGCGTAACAGAGGTTTAACTTAACAGATGTAGCTAAACTCGCTTTTCCAATGTGTCACATTTGGTTTCTACTTACTTACATTTTGACAACGATATCGGTACTTTTCCTACTTAGGAAATAAAACTACAAACATACAAAACCCCAGATTTGTACGTTTTTTTCCACATTTCCTCCGAATGTTTGCTAGATATATGTACCGATTATCGTTTAGAGATTACGTAATCTTAAGAAACCTTTGTTTGGATAAAGGTGGTTTCTTCAAACTGTCATTAATATGTTAACATTAAAAGCTGCTTACAAATAATGCTATTAATAGGAAATAACTTTGATTTTCGAAAACTAAAAAAAAAATTAAAACCAAAGGAGATTAATAACTTTGGTACCGGTACTGCACCACATCAAGTGAAAGTTTTTTTTTTAGCAAACTATAGTGAGTTTTCAAAGCCTGTGTGTATTTATTTATTTATATAATTGCCAACTGATTAACACCTATAATACAATTTGATTAGAAGGACAGTTTGAATTAGTCGTAAGTACTACAGTTCTTTTCTCAAATGTAAACGTTGGTTTTTGGTACCGGTACTGCTACTTTTCCTTAGAACCGGTGGTAGCAGTACCGGTAAGAATAATTTTTACATACAAACACATCACTATTTTCACTACAGTATTTATTTATAAACACTGCACCTTATTGCTTATTAAATTTAACGAGAGGTCGTCCAGTGGTCGAAACTCGACCAAAAATATGTAATGTACTCACTTAACTATTTTCACCCCACACTGTAAATAAAACATGTGATTGGAGTTTCCTCCATTTGTTTTGATTTTCTGTTTATATTTCGTTGTTATTTCGTAACCAGCATAGCAACGCATAAGATCCATGTTAATTTTTTACAACTTTTAAACTTATTTTTTGTGCTTATCTTTGAGCCTATTTAAATTTATAAAGGGATTCTGCACACCTACAGGAAAATAGCTTTCCAACGGTATGCGTAGATTTTCCCTACGATGCACACGAGCTGAGAAAAAAGGTTTTAAAGAAACATGCTTGCCTATTAATATATAGATTAATTGATGTCTTACTGTATAATTTTTAGCGTTTTCTGTCTGGACTCCAAAATGTTGTGTGGACTCAATTCTGTATTTGTGTGTGTATGTCTATTGGTACCTAATGCATTAAAGTCCTTATTTTTCGTGGAAAAGACAAGGGCACCATTGTTAATAAAAATTTCAACCAGAATAAAGTGTGCAGTAGTGAGGTTGAGGTAGTGTTTTAACTACTTTTAACCAGTGTGAAAAGTAACTTTCAATTACAGGCCTACCTTAGGGCTATGCCTCATAGATCTATACTGTAAAGCAATTCCTTTCATCGTTAGATATAAAATATGGACGAACACGATCGATCGGGTGACATTTAATTGCGAAGCATTCGTTTTGGCTTTGAAACTGTCAGATATTGTATTTGAGAAGGTTTATATGTATTCCTAAACAGTTAAAGTTTTGCCATCATATCTGGAAAAATGCACACTAAATATGCAAACCAACTCCTGTTCTGAATATAAGGTTTTAACTTACTACAAGATTCCCGTACGTAGAACGGGCAAACAGCTAGTCTATTATAAACAGTTACACAACACACTTACCATGAATCATATAATGCAAAGCTCAATGGTACTCACTGATTATTTAAATGCAGATTAATTAATGTAAACAAGCCGCCGTGCCACATGGCACCAAGAAACAAATCTTCATAATAAACAAATTTAATTGATTAGCAAAACGAAGCATAACAGTTGGTAAATTTTCTTCATAAGAAACACATTGGGATTTTAGTGGCCTGTGGGGCAAAGCCCTATGACTTTTATTACATGAATTGGCAAAAGGGGGCTTCTACACAAAAAATACTTAATTTTGACTCATCGTGTGTAAAAATCCATCCATTATTAAGCAGTGTTTTGTAGAAATCACCTTAACGTATTATATATAAGGATTTACATTTTGAAGGGGCTATTTTAATCCACGGCCTCTCCCATAACTTTCGTAACTCTGTGGACAATTTACTGAAAACTACAATACTTAGCAAAGGTACCTAATAATTTTATACAGATTATCTATTGGCAAGCATTCTTCCAATTTTACATTCAAGAAACAGTGATGGAATTCACTTCCAATGCAACAGGTATCACTTCCATAGTTATCTATCCGTAGAAATATAACAAAGTATATTTCTTGTTCTAATACACCCGCCACAGCAAACCTGCAGACTAAGCGAATTTCCATTTGCCTTATTAAATTTACACTAAAATGTCTCCTTAAAAATATCACATTTATTCCCTATTTAAATATAATTAGTTTAACAAGTACTTAGGTTTGCTGCAACAGGGATGTTAAAAAAGTGTTTTTTTCAAAAGTTAATAGTTTAGTAAGATATGAATTCATTTTCCAAATTTGATCAAAATATGTTCATAAACAAGCAAACTACAACAGTTTACTTATTCTCCGTGAGAATAACATGGAAATTTTGAATTTAAAATTTTTTGGAATTTTCTCTGTAACCAATAACTGTAGAAAAACACTTTGATTTACTAAATTATTTGTTTTTTTAAGCTCTACAAAATGGTTTGGAAAGAAATTGCAAAATTTTATGGTTTTTTTGTATTTTTATCCTATAAAACCCCCCATAAACCCCTGTTCCCATAGTCCGATCATGCTGGTGGATCGCAAACTCGTGTAGGTTTATACCAAATTTCGTCAAAATCGGATCATTTTTGCTCGAGTTATGCTATCGGACACACACACACACATATAATATAAATATATGATTTTGAACGGATGGTGTTTTGGCCTCTAGGGACCTCAAAACGAACAAGTAAATCTGTCCCGGGCCCAGGTCTTACCATGAGTACTACGGTAATAGCTTATTCCCTATATGGGAAATTCACTAAAAATTTGCTTATGAATTAAATTATACCTTTTGGTGAGTCCACTGCAAGACAATATTGGTACATTACTACCAAGGGAGGCCAGTGGATGGTATTTGTTGCCAGGGAAAACCTGAAATGAAAAAGCGATTGAGTATAATAAAATTGTTAGATTGTTATATTGCTCTATATATTATTCAAAGAATAAGCAAAAAGAGAATTAAAAGCAATTGGGACAAAAGGTGTTAAATTTTCTTCATATATAATGGTGTTGCATTTTTTTCTTTTTTTTTACTTGGTCATAGTCCAAAGGCTGGTCATAAGATAAAGAAAGTAACAACTTTATCTAAAAACAAATCTTTTGTTAGATAGCATAACTATTTAATAGCTTAGCTCAATTACAGATGGCATCTAGAATAATTGATTCTCCTCAAAGCAGCAACCTTCAGATTTTATGGCCAGCCCCAGGATCATTACCTATCTTATCCTCGTCTTCAGTATACCCACAATAATAACAAATCTCTTAGTATTAAACCAATATCCATCCAGTATGTGTTAGTTTACGTCTTTGATAAGCTAAGTAAACTCAAAACTGTAAGCTCTCCTTACCAGATGTTCGTAGATCTCGTCTGCTATGATAGGTACCCTCTGCCGCTCTGCCACTCGCAGCACTGACTCCAGATGTTGCACTGAGTAGACAGATCCGCACGGGTTTGACGGGTTGTTGACCACAATAGCCACTGTGTCTCGGTCTATCTGTCTCTCCAAGTCTTGTGTGTCTATCTCCCAGTTGCGATCTGGCTGCAGCGTCAAAATCATTAGATGGTATAAAAAATTGTACAAAAACTTTTAATAGTGGCCGTTCTTTGCAGTAAATGAATCTATTGTAGGATATAATATATGCAATTAGCGACACATTTTGTGTACCTATATTATCTGAATATGAATGCTGAGTGAGTATAGAATGGAATAAGATTACCTATAGAGCTGTGTTAGTGTTATCAATTATCGATCAATTATAATAAATTAATTGTCAACTATTGAGATGGGGACGCCACCCAAGGCTAACGTAGGTGCATATTTTAACCCAAATATGAACGTAGGATGGTGTGAGATGATCTGTGTAGCTTTGTCTAAGACCAGCTGTTTCATTAGTCAGGATCATTTATTTAAAGCCCCATGATCAGGAACAGCTGGCTCCAGTTTAGAACTATCAAAAAACTACTGACTTTTCTCAGGATCTTGATCAAGGATTAAACGCCTCAATTTAAATAGCATTAGAAAATAAACTGAGAGGTAGCAACTGGGGGTTCTCACCAGCAATTTGTAAGTCTTGACGTTGATGCCCAGACCCTCGGCCAAGGTGCGGTAGATGGAGAAGCCTGGACAAGGCACCAGGATAGTCTGGCCTGGGTTGGCCAACACTGTTATACACAGGTCTATAGCACTGGAACACCCACTGCACAGCACTACATCCTGGGTAGCACAAACGTTATCAAAAACTGACTGCACTATCTACCAAATATATAAAGTACATGGCTGTAACTTTTTTTCTCAGCACTTTCACAAAATATGACTAAATGTACATATGAATGCCTATGTCAAACAATTGCTAGATTGGTTTTAACTTGTTTGTTTTGTAATATTGGCTTTTCCAAACCAATTTCTTTGAATACTGTAATCATTTCCTGAAAGATGTGCAATAGGGTATGGTTTTCATTGTAGATGCAAAAGTGATCCAAATTTTAAATTTGATAACAATTTTAGAGATCGGTTTAGTAAATTTATTTTACCATGACTTTACAATGTTACCCATTTAAATTTATTAATGTGATACGGTACGGCAAAATAAAAAATAAAAATGCTATGTAACATTGATTAAACTACTATAAATTTGGCTAAGGTGCTGTAATATAAATACCTATTTTGCATTTTTAAATGTTTAGGAATAAATGTACAATAGCAACCTACCTCAGGTTTAATAGTCAGGCCTGAATGAGAGGAATAATCAGCAACAGCCTGTTTTGCTTCCTGGTATCCTGAAAATTAATTCATAGATTAAAAACTAACAAGCTTCACCCCCTTTGGGTTGGGTAAAAATGTCAATATACTACTTAGTAATAGCAGGATTTAGATCATAACCTTCCTCAGAAACATTGCAGTAATACACAATGGCTTGAATACAAAATAATACAAGAAGTAAGTTAAATTTGTTCACTGAGGAGTTTTAACTACCCAGCAGTAAAATTACAGTATTGGTTCAAATTCAATTATTGAACAAAGTCAATATTTTTATCTTTAAATATCAATTAATGTAACTTAATTGTTAAAATACGCACATAGTGGGGTCCCCAGCTTAAATAATTGATTTATTGATAAGTGTGTTCTTACTCTTTCGCTGAATTCACCCTCTGTGCTGACATGATGGTATCTCTCACCTGATGCAGGAGCGTACCCGTTGTATCTCTGACTATGTAGACTCTCCTCCACTGCCTCTATTACCTCCGTCGGCGGAAGTAAGTTCCCGAATACCGTTGGGTCACCTACATCAATACAAGAACAAAATTTAATATGTATTAAATGATTGGTTAAATAATTAGACTGAAAGAATTAAACGAGATTTGGAAATTAAAAAGTAAGGTAGATTGTCGACAAGTTGAGAAGACCCAACCACACTGACATCATCAAAAGACAAGGACGATAAGAAGCCAACCGCAAGAATTGAAATTATATCAAAGTAAACTTTGCATAAAAATCATTTAAGGATCTTGGAAGGTGATTGCTTTTCGTTGGCAGTTTTAACTGCATGCGAATAACGTTTTTAGGCCAGAAATAAATTATTTACAACATTTGAAGAAATGGCCCAAGCAGTTTTCGTGATCTTTGTGCAAGTAAGCATACATACAAGCAAACATTGTTCATATAAGAGTTAAAGAGTATAGGATTTATTATTGTATAACAACATCTGGTGAAAGAAATAAACACTTTCTAGTTTTTTTTAATACTTTTAAATGATAAAACATTCTTTCATTTTGATCGTGATGTTACTGCCTGCTCTTTAATGGTTGAAAATTCTTTTTGAATTGATATTTAATCATCAAGGACCGAAAAAAATTTTAGAAGGCTCCGAAATCGAATTTGAGACGAATGTTGAGAACGTAAAAAGACCAAGAGCTGGCGAAACGTTTGTATTTTAACCACGCTATGAAATCATAAATTAGTAATTAAATAAAAGTGTGATTTTCTAAGAAGAAAAATATTAGGTTTGTCAATTTTTGTGGGGAGGAGCTTGTAAACATCGACATCTGTAGACAATGTATGTAGTATATCAGTGTAAAATTAGAATGTTTTAACTAAATACATAAAAACGAACAGTTAAATTCGACTATGGTCTGCTGTACGATTATTTTGGCAATAAAGTAGTTTTTAGTTGACAAAATTCCTCGGCAAACGAAAATGTTATAGCTGTTCAAAACCTAGATGGTTGCCAAAACTATCGTTTTGCAGGCCGGCACACGAGACTGAATGATTTAAATAAAAAGTATTTCTAGCTCTCCACCAACAGATATGTTATTCAATAGGTTTTGATCACATTGCTGTTTCAACGTAATCCAAGGAAAAAATAAAATGTCAAAACCTTTTAAAAATCAATATCAGTAATGACTGTACCTATTATTTTTGTACAAAATGCCATATGACGTTAGGGAATTTCAAATTTAAATTACCACATACTTAACTATGCTTAAATCCTTGTTTTGAAACTTGATCGGAAATTTTTCATAATCAATGGTCTGTGTTTATTCTTTAAACCAATATTACCATACTCCGTAGTCTGTGCTACCTACCTTATTAAAACTAAAACACTATTAAGGATCTACAGCAGTGCTTGCATATGGTATCATATTTTCATTATTAAAATCACATGCAATTTAATTGTTTATATTTATGTTGAATCTATTGTCATATTAGGTAACCATTATTTCCTGCTTTTCTATAATAAATAGGTTCTCTGATTTAAAAATGTCTCGAAGAAGATCGCTGTTAAGTCTAAAACGATTCTCAAAGTATGTAAGAGAACTTAGAAAAAGGAAAATAAAGAATTTTTTCTCCAGCAAAGATAGTAACTTAAAAAATGTTGTCAAATTACCATCAGGAGAAGGGAAGAATCTGAAGAATGGGTGCAAAGGGAACATCAAAATATTGGTGGAAACAAGAAGCTGTGGTATGAATAAATCATGAAACTTTTATTTGAAGAATATTAGTTCTTTTTGCTTATTTGAACTCTTAAACTCTGTAATTAGTTTTGGCCTGAATGTCTTAAAATAATAAATTGATGTTAGTTCCTATAGTCTATAATTCATACAGTCTATATTAAATAGACTATTAGACTTAATACTTCAAAATTAGACTTCTATTTAGGCTACAGTACCGGTACTTTAACTTGGGAGTAGAACTACTTTAGGCTTCTTGAAAGTAGAATACTGTAGCCTATCTTGGATTTGAAAATTCGTAAATATACAGTATAGCCTTTACTTGAGGTTTTAAAATTTGTAAAGACGATGAAGGTGAAACGATGTTAAAGAAACTCGTGTTATCTGTTAAAACAATCGTCAAGTGAGTATACATGTCCGGTGAATCTATAGAATAGAGTGCTCTTTTAGGTGTAAAATAATTCCTCATTGAATATACTTTAGTATAACTACTTTAGTATAAATGTAAGATTCAGAAGAATTTAGTGAAATAGTAAAATAAAGTACCAGGAAGACACGGAGCGCGTTGCCAACTCAATAAACTCAACGGTACCGCCGGTTTACTAATTACGCGCTAGCTCCATTTGTAAGGATAGCATCTCACTGTCCTCCAGTCATAAATTAAAAACCTCGTTGGTTCTCTTTGGATCTATTAGTTAAAATTTTAGTATAAAATCCAGGGTTTTTATAACCTATATTTAAATATTATAGAAATAGAAACGGCGGTCATAAATAATTCACTTATTCAGGTTGCTATCTTATAGTGAATGGCTAGGTCGGCAAATTCCAATGGTAGCCTACATAACAGATGCTAAGAGAACAATTAATTATAACTAGGCTATAGACTACAATAGCTAGTAATTAATTGCAATAGAGTACATAGTCAAATTCCTGCGAAAACCCTCAACACAGTTACATTAACAATTCTGCATTCTATAATTTACATTAAAATAGTTGAGAGCTATAACCGAATGGAACAAGGCATTCAAATAATTCATTTAACACGTTCCACGCATTATCATTAAATTTGAATAGTGAGGAAGTGTGATTAATCTAATAAATCGTGTGTATGACAGTTCCGTTATAAAGCACAGTACTGTGAGAAAATTGTATCCTGTGTACTTCAAACTTGGTATCAATATCCTTTCTTAACATTTATTTTAACGTTTTATTCAGCAAAAATCTGTAAACTCGGCTCCCGCTCCTTAGCCATTTAATTTAAAGTTCCGGGTATAAAAATGGGATCAAAATTCCCTCGATAAAACAAAATCAGTACACGCTTAATGAACACTACACTCAACAACTATTTAAGGTGTAAGGTCTCTTTAACAATAATGTATGTGTTATTTTCAAACAAATGTGTATTAGAAGAAGGCCGTCGCTTCTTAGTGAATTAACCTGCTTAGAAGTATGACAGTAAAAATTATATTGGTCGAAAACAGTACCTTCGGTCAAAGGTGCTTAATGAGCTTAATCAATGAATACAAACGGTTTGTTTTCATTGGCATAACGCACATTATACCACCACTTTCCTTCTCCTCTTCTCCCTATGTCTAATGTAACTTATTCAAGAGTTTTCTACGTAGAAGTGTTTCCCTACAGTCCTACTCTCTGCTTGATCTCGTTTATTTATCAGTCCAAGAATGTGTTTATTCTGTTCCTGCGGCTCGGTGACGATCCTGGTATATACTGGCACAACGCACATTATCAGTACCACCACTTCCCTTCTCCTCTTCTCCCTATGTCTAATGTAACTTATTTTTCTCAGTAGAAGTGTTTCCCTACAGTCCTACTCTCTGCTTGATCTAGTTTATTTATCAGTCCAAGAATGTGTTTATTCTGTTCCTGCGGCTCGGTGACGATCCTCGTATACTGGCAGATCGCCATGGAATCACGCCACCAACCTGTCTCAAAACTGGTCTTCTGCGTGTCATTTATACATTTTATTTGCACCGATGTTTTCGCTGACTTCTGCAAACACTGCGTTTCAGCCTACTTCCACTTGGTTTCCGTTTGTTGTTTACACTCAAAGTGTTATAACTATGGAAATTCTTGACACCCCTTGGCAAATTAGTAATGTAAATCTCCATTTACAACTACGAGTTAACACTTTCTTAGAAGTGCTACCCTTTAAACCCCAGGGAAATTAAAAAATGAAATTAAGTTCCTTACGTTCAATGAAGTTCAAAATTAACTTAATTAAGTTACTTAATTATTGGTTTAGATTGGTGTAGTTCTACTTTGGTGTTAAATTGCGTGTCTTTGCACTTGAGCATATTATTCGAGAGGCTTATTATGCATTATTAGCATATTATGATACGAGTCCACCGAACTCGAAAAGCCAAAAGTAAATCTTAAAAGCTGTTTCTAACTCCATCACATGGTTCTCTGCTTTCTGAAAAAATTCTACAGGGATTTTGTATCTTTGATCATAACTTTACTAATGATATCTTAAAAGGTTTAATTGGTGCATTCGAACCAAACGACAGTCAATAGTTCTTCACACTAGTTTTTAACATGGCTTGCAAAATATCATACACGCTGAATAACCAATGGCAGTACAGTTGTTCAAGTTTAATATACAATACAAACGCAGATAAACTATTCTGCTTTAGAAGAAGTCTAGAGAAGAACTCAAATCGTGGGATGCGTCAATAGTATACGTAACTAGATTTGGATTCGAACATTTCCATTCGTCCGTTTACAAGATTTGGGAAGAATTTGATGAGACCGAATAGTGTATTGACCTTGACAATGGACCAGACCGACTCTGCTAGAATACCTTATCTTATGTAAGACTTGTGTTATTCCTAAATTTGTTTTCCACTCTTACTTAAATGTTTTCACTTCCTAACTAAGTTATATAATTCGTCTGTGTTAGGTAGTTTTTAAAGTGGCCAAACTATAGATTTAGATTGTAAAGATCTTGATATCTATCATTGAACGGGTTACTTAACGCATCGATATTATTCCTCACCAATGCGTATCTAGACAATCGCCGAAATATATTGGGAAACGCGTATATGAGTAACCATATGATAATACCTACAACAAAATCATTCAATGAAAGTTTGTTTTTGTTAGGATTTATGGTTAAAAATTTTTTTAAAACACGTTTTCTATCACAATACATTGAAAACGGGATTTTAACATTTTTTTATTTGGGAGCAACTATTTGCTACCTTTGTTGTGTATTTTCAAGAAATGCGTAGTAATAATTTGTTGGAGATTTTATTCTCTTTCAGAATATCACTTTCCACTTAAGTAGATTTCCTCACCATTTGTAAAAAATC